GTACTGTGAAAATTAGAAATTAAGAATCCACCGTGATAAATGTAAGAAGAGTCTGGCCTTAATTTGTGGTCACTTTAAAGGTGTCTTTAAATGAAATTTGCTCAAAGTTTTAGCTTGTCATTTAAAACTTAATAAATGTAGAATGCCACTAATAAATATGTTTAAAATTTGAGGTAACTACTCCTGTAAATATTATTTATGATAATTTCCCGGAAGATGTAGTAGTAGCAGTTCTATATCTTTAGTAATAAAAGAACCTTTTAGTTTTTGACTATTGATAAAAGAACCTATTTGTTTTTTCGATATATAAATTATTAACTAACGTCTTAATAATTTATCCGTCTGTTTTTCAATGAGGTAGTATTCATTTAAATATTATTTCTTAAAAATATATCTTTAAAATCATAAACAATCTACTACTCTTTTAAATGTTAAGACCCTCTTGTCAGGTTACATATTAATTCTTTCCCCTCTCTTCTAATAATTATATTCGCTTGTAAATAGCAATTTTCTCCAAGTGTTTAGATCCCATTTGAATGGGGAAAAGCGAGACGAAGTTGAGACAAGCCCGAGACGAACTGAGAACTGGCTGGGAAAGTCGGCGAATCGATTGGGAAAACCGAACCATGCCAAAGAAAAGTGCAGCTCCGTGCATTTTTTTTCCTCTTTTTCTACCTTCTGTCTGCCGTCTGCTGTCTGCGAATGTCTCATTTGGTGGCTCTGGACGTGAGCCAAACGAATGGCGGACAATGGAAGTGGTCACTCCGAATGGCATTGCCAAATGGCAACAACAACAACAACAACAACAAAAACACTAATAATTCACAATTCCAATGCATTGTCTTTTGCCTTTTGTTTTTGTGCAATCGAAATTCGCATGAAGCGATTTGATTGATTTGTCAAGCCAAATGGCACACACAGGTGATGTTGTGCGTGTTGTGTGTGTGTGTGTGTGTGTGCTCACCGCAATACAAAGCACCTGGCAGGCGCAATAGATAAACTTTTTTTATTATTATAACAACTGCTTGCTATGGAGAATTCATTCCGCCAAGAAATCGAAACGGGCAGTGAGGAAATCCAAAGTGATTTATAGGTTCCCACTGATGTCCGATTTCACAAAACCAAAACTTTTATTATGAGGGAACAATTTCAAAATTCAATCGCATACCACACCATTTTCTATGAAAATCACTTTGAATATATAAGTAGATGAATGGAGTTTTCATTTAATTTTCGCCTTCTCTTTTGCCTTTAATTATATCAGTTTGGGAAATTCTCTGAAATTATAATAAATTGCCAGAGTTTTCATATCTAAAGCCTTCTCAAATAGCATATAGTTCATTTTCCTCAATATCTCATTCAGGATTAGTGAAATTATCTCAACTTACTGCCATTTATTTGGGGGAATGCCACTTGCCAAACGAAAGACTTAGGCAACAAACTTGCCACCGATGGCTAATGTTGCGATTGCAGCCGAAAAAAAAGGCACACCGAAAATGTGTATAAATTTCCTTAGCCAATTTTCGCATGGCAGCATAAAATAGTTTCCTGTTTGTTACGACGGACCCAGCAACTTAGCTAAAAAAAATAAAGAAAAAAGGGAGGAAGCCGATCCGTTTCGAGCCGAAAAAAAGCTGGGGCAAGAAAATACAACATAAAACCAGCAGCGCATAAAATTTCCGCTCTCTTCTCAATGGGGATTTTTAGCCTAATGTTGTCCGGTGCACCGAAAGAAAATTATGAGCAGCTTTAGGCAAAGAAAAAATATTCAAATACAAGAAGTTCATTCAAGAAATAAAATCCATAAAATAATGAATAGTACTATAAGTAATTCCTTACTGAAAGGTAATTTGAATAAAATATTACCTGTCTGAAAGGTTATTTAAATAAAATATTATTTTACAGGCAGTTTGATGTTATAACTCATAGTTATTTTATAACTTTTAGCATTTTGTAAGGGCTTAAATTAAATTAAAATATAATAATTAAGCAAATACTTGAAATTAAATGAAATGAATGAAATAAAACTTTTAAAAAAATTGAAAGAAGTGCAAATAAATCATTATTGACATGGTTTTCCATAGAGTTAAATTTATAATTCAACTTTTTATGATTCTCCAAGTAAATAAATTCAATTTATCTCTAATTTTTTTCTCAGTGCCTGCTGCATATAATTAGTGGCAACTATTTATAATCGTTTTCTTTTTGTTTAACAGAACTTTTCGTGGGCCCATGCAATCCTCATTGCTGATGCAGAACAGCGCCAGCAATGGCCATAAATCAACAGACGGGAAACAGTGCCTGGAATCGTACGATAATAAAGTGCAACAAATCTCTACTAATAAAAATATAAAAAAAGTAACTGCAAAAGCAGCACCATTACAATTACAATTACAATTACAATTACAATTACAAGCGGCATGCATGACACAGTTTTCGGGAGCAGTAACAGCACACAAAACTCCCAGCTCTTTTGTCATTTCTTTCCCGGCGAACCGGCAAACAGCATCAAGTTGCCAGTTATGGTTCATGGAACGCCAGAGCTGACCCAATCGGATACAATATAATGTGTACATATATCATTTGTCAGCTTATGAAACCTTCTGGTCTAACCCAGTTACCCAATGATGGATGATTATGTTGTGTATGCTTTCCACAGCGTTTTGCTGCAGGGATAACCCTTGCAACTTCTATTTCTATACTTTCCGAGAAGAATTTCCCAAGAATCTGGAACATCTCTCTGTCTCAGCTTTCCACTCTTAATGGCACGGGGTACAATTAACCAAGAAGATTAAAAAGTAATTCCCCCTTTTTAATTGTAGTCATGCCGTCGCGAGTAATAGAATGTCAAGAACAAAAGGAAATTTAATTTGTTTGAGCTCGATTTTATGGTCTCTTTTTCAGGTAATTATAATTTCTTTATGATGAACTCACCGGGAGGGGGCAAATATATACACACATGTGTGTAAATAAAGAGAGTGCATTGAATGGCATTGAGTGGCATACAAAAAAATTATCCAAACAAATTACGCTTAAATAATTCATGGAAAATTTTCCAGCATTTAGCAGACATAATGCCCATTTGCATTTGATAATATGCGTGGTGGTAAACGACCTTGTTCCTCTACCAATCATCAACCAGTCATCAAGCAACCAGTCAACAATCAACAACCAACAATCAACAACCAACGAGAGTTGATTGTTCGCTGGCTCTTCAATCACTTGATTTAATGTCAAATGCATTTTCAAATTTTGGGCACAGAAAGAAATATAAGAAAAATAAATATATAAATATAAAATGTAAAGAGATAAACTGTATGGTAAATATAAATAAAAACCTTTTAAAATGACTGGGAAAATTTAATATTTCATTGTTAATATTTTTACTCCTTTTTTGTAACACTTATTATTATCATTTCATTTTAAAAGTAATGCAAAGTCTTTAAAAAATAAAACAAATGTCAAACTAAATACCAAAATGCTCTGTTATAAATATGAAAAAATTCAGAGAATTTTATAATTTAAATAAATTCATATATAACATGTAAACCAACGTCTCCTTATATTAAAAAATATTTTCTTTCCATGCAAAAAGCCAAATTTGTTAGCAACATTAAAATATATATTTTCATTGCTATTTGGCGCCTGACATTGATGGAATTTTATGCACTTTAATTGTTGGGTTTTTAGTCATAAATTTTTGGAGTTGGACTTAAACTCTAAACTGTATGATTTGACTTTTGTTTGCCGTGTGTGTGTGTGTTGTGTGTGTTGTGTGTGCTGTGGTTGCCCCGACAATTCGTGTCAATGTCAGCATGATTTTAGTTTTTCTGATCTGCTCTTGGTGGGGGGAGGGAGGGGGAGGCGAAGGGTAGACAGGTGTTAATGCCTTGGCAAACGAGTTTAATCGAAACATGCATAATACACGCACCAAAAAAATGCTAAGAAACTGTATGCAGCTGCGGACACACTCGAAGAAAAATCGTGATGGAATTGCAGCCTTAATTAGTGCCCCATAACTCAGTCACTTGGACACATTTTCAAAGCGCAAGAAATATGCATTTTTGAAATAGTTTCGCAAAGCACTAACGCTGACACAGAAAACAGAAAAAAAGACTAAACAGTAGCCGAAAAAGACAGCGTAAGACAGCAGAAAAAAACATAATAAGTAATAAAGATAAAAGAAAAAAAAAAAAACAATGCGAATGTGGGGGAAAAACAGACTGGAGGTAAGTAGAGTCACCTCCGGCTGCTGTGTGTTGTGGCTGCTGTGTGTGTGTGTGTGTTGCCGCTTCTTCTTCATTTCGCTTATTTCGGACCCGGCTCACGGTTTTCACTTGAAGCGCGTGAAAGTTGCGCTTCACCACGGCGACAGCAGCAGCCGCATCACACAGAAAGAAATATTTAAATACTTTGCCAAAGGCCTTTTTTAAACCAAAACAAAATAAAAAGAAACGCCTAGCATCAAGCAGTACACATTTAATTGTAATTATTACAGTTTAAAGTAATTTTAAAGTTCTTTTGCATTCATTTTCACTGTATGCTTAAAGCTCTGCAACACGAACTTCTAAGTGTACAGTTATAGTAAGATAAAAGCATCAGCTTTACTCTTTGACTTTCCACAACTTTTATGCCCTATCATAATTTATTTAATTAAAATTCTCACCAGCTACAATTATTTAAATGTTTTAATTCAAACATAAACAAGAAAATATTCCATTAAAATAATATATATTTATATGTTCATCAAATATTCTAACAATTGTGAATGCAAGCTAATGAGCTTTTAAAACCGTAACAAAAGTTTGTCAAAAAAACGGTATGTTAAGCTGATCAAAAGGCATGAGACACACACAGGGCCACGCAAGGCAATTAATGCAACTCAATGAAACTAAAAAAAAAAACATAACTAAGGAAAAACCAAAGATAAACCACACTGCCACACCAAAACAAAAGACAAATCACAACAAATACGCACTTTTTACGTGTTTTTCACTCACCAAAACAAAAATACAAATAAAACTGTTGCGCAAAGCAATGCGGACCGAGAAATGTTGCTGCCGCGTATTTGTATGTTTTAATATTAATATATTGTTTGTGGTTTCTGTAGTTTTATCTTTATTTTGTGCAATGCAGACGACGACTGCCGCGGCGGCTCACAACTAACTGCACTCACGTAACGGAACTGCAAATGTGCGGGCGAAATAAACGCGGACCGACTGCCAGAACTGCGAACAACCGTTGCAGGTGAAGACCAACTGAAGACAACTTTAGCCGACAGCCCGGCTCGAGCGTAAAGCGAACCGAGCCGAGCCGAAGCCCAAGCACAAGCCGAAGTCGAACCGAAGTTGAAGTCGAAACCGATCACCCACAACTGCACAGTGGGGCTTATGCATTCAATGAACTATGAAATTGTAATTACACTTGAAATAGTTTGCAGAATATTATATTAAAATTTATGCATCTTACTTTATAGATTTTTTTTATGGCACTGTAAAAAACGAAAACGGATTTTAAGAAGTATATATCATTATTTTTATTCGACAATTTTAACGACAAATCAAAGTTTTAAAACCTTATAACTAAGCCAAAAATGCATTAATTTCAATTCGGAAAGTTTTCCTAAGTTAGTTATTATTAGATTTATAAATCTGCATACTTTGTTTAATATAAAATACCATTTAAATTTTTGTGGAATTTTGAAAATTTTAACGATATAACCCCTTATAAAATTTTGAAAAAATTGGCAAAATTTTTGTTTCTTCCGATATGGCCAGAAAAATTCGCCTGTTGATGCTAATCAAGAATATATATGATTTATAGGGTCGGATATGATTCCTTCACAGCGTAAAATTATAATACCATTTCAATTATATAAAAAATGGAGCTAAAATTTTGGTTTGGAAAAGTAAAGAAATCATAGCGCCAACATATATCTTTCTTTTTAATTAAATTATATATTTATTTATTTAAATGTTGCAAAACAATGTTTAAACTATGAATGAAAAATATAATTTTATAATCTATTTTTATTAGGCCTTCGTATATAAAAATATATAGTTATTCGATTAAAAAAAGCACGACAAAGCCAATATTACGCTTCAAATAATATACAATGTACCCGCTTTAAGTTTTGTGGATTTATTTTGTTTTCATTTGTTAGTTATAATGCTTGTCCCACTGTTTGATAAACAGAAACAAGAGTGTTGGCGGCACTTAAAGATCCTATCATATTGCATGTAGGGCATGGCATTCTTCAGGCTCCCGTTCGAGGCTCTCTCTTCTCTCTCTCTCTGGTGCTCCGCTTCCCACCCACCTGGTGTGGCTTCTATTAAAACTGGGTCAACTGTACCGGAGGGTATTCCCAGCCAAGCAATGGCAAATTGGCATTCTTGGGCTGTCTGGCCCGTGCCTGGAGTTATGTATACAATTTTTGTTTTTATTTCTGGTACGTTACATTTTTAAATAGGTTTTTGGGGCTGGGCGCTGCACTAACTCCTCCTGCGGCTCCTGTTCCTGCTACTGCCTCTGCTCCCTGCTGCTGTTTTTGCTTTCGATGCGATCCAGTGGCAAGTCAATGCGGACTGAGGGCTCCTCTACTCATCTCGCTTAACATTTAAGAGTACAAAAATACATTGACTTTGTGATTACAACAATCCCTTCCCATCCTGGGTTTCTCTCTCCGCATCTCCCTGTCACTCTATTGAGTTACAATTTCAAACATGTTTCGCACGCGCATACATATCGTATATATAAAATAAAAATTAAAAATCACAAGAAAAAAAATAGTAAAGGAAACGGGAAATATTTTAAGGAGAGCCAGAAGTAAAACGTGTTTTTTGAATTTATGCAATAGGCAACAATTACAATTAGAGCTGGTGGTGCTGACGCCACTTCTGGCGGCGGTGATCTCTTAAGCCCTCTCTCGAGTGCGTCTAGCCCTCCTGGCCAAAATCCTCTGTGAATTTGCGCAGCTTCTTCAAATCGTCATCGTTCACAGTGGGTTTCGTACGCGACAAGGACTTTAACATGTCGCGCTGCAAGCACAAAACAAAACAATATTATTTAAGGGAAATAAATAGATAAATAAATGGTAACAACCATGGTCACGGGCGGTTCGAAGAGCTTGTCGCTGGGCACATCCATCCAGTTCATTTCAACGGCGCCCTCGTCACCGGGCGAGCAGGGAACCAGCAGGTCGTTGACAATCTCATCCTTGTTGGTGGGACTCGGGCCAGTTACCCTCTTGAAATGTGTGGCCGTTTGGACTTTACGCACTGGTTCCATCAGAGCATCACGCACCACGATCGATATATCCGCGCCAGAGTACCTGGAGGCAACAAACAAAAGGAATTAGTTCGAAATACAAGAGTTAGTGCTTCGCCTTTTCTCTTCTTTACAGCCACAAAAACCTTACCCTTCGGTCTTGCCAGCTAGCTCCTTGAGATCCTGCTCGGTCAGCACGTGCGTGGTGTTTCCCAAATGGATCTTGAACATGACGAGGCGGGCATGTGCCTCCGGCAGGGGAATGTAGATGCGCTTCTCGAAACGTCGCCGGATGGCCGAGTCCAGGACCCAGGGTATATTGGTGGCGCCCAGCACGAGAATGCCATCGGTATCGTTGCCCACGCCCTGCATCTGTACCAGGAACTCGGTCTTGATGCGACGCACACTGTCGTTCTCATTGTCCGATCTCGCCGAGCACATCGAATCGATTTCGTCGATGAAGATGATCGAGGGCTTGTGCTGGCGGGCCAGCTCGAAGAGATTCTTGACCAGCTTCTCGGACTCGCCCAGCCACTTGGACATTAAATCCGAGCTGGATACCGAGAAGAATGTGGAACGGTTGGCCTCGGTGGCCACGGCCTTGGCCAGATAGGATTTACCCGTACCGGGTGGTCCGAAGAGCAGGATACCCTTCCACGGTATACGCTTGCCGGTGAAGAGCTGCGGGAATTTGATCGGCAGAATGACGGCCTCCTTAAGTGCTTCCTTAGCGGCATCCAGGCCGGCGACATCGGACCACTTGACCTCCGGTTTCTCTATGACAATGGCGCCCTCCAGCTTGCTCTGCAGCTTCTTCTTCTCGGGATCATCACCGTCCTCGTCATCACTGTCACTCTTCTTGTCCTTATCATCCTTGGCACTGGACTCGCCGCCCTCCTTAATCGGTTTCTTCTTGCCCTTCTTCAAGTACTCCTTAAGCTTCTCGGCCCGATCCAGATACTGCAGGCACTTGGCGCGTATCGAATCCTTGGCTTTCTCACCCTGCGCCTCATCTGGTTGGTAGAATTTTAGTATAAGAATCTGGATAAGAATTATAGGTTTCACTCACATTTGATGGTGTGCAAGAAGTACTCCACGCCGTGCTCGTACAGGCGCAGTGCCTCGGCATAGTTCTTGTTGCGATCCTCTTCGGTGGCCTTGGTCACCAGATCAATGGCCTTCTGTAGAGTGGTTCCGGCTGCCATTTTGCTGAAGAAACATAAGTAGAGAGTTAGATAAGGTAATTTTAAGTTTACTCTTGCAGGGTGACGACACCTCAGGCTTGGGGGTTTCCTGGAGTGTAAATGTTCTTTAAGGTATGTTTGTTTAAGCATAAATACTCATTGTTTATCAGTTGTTTGTACAATGGTATAGGTTCCTAGAATTGGTATACTTTCTGGAATCCCAACTGAACGTTTTGTAAGAACCTTAAGGGGTTTCTAATAGACGTTTTTTATTGAGCTGTCGCAGTTGAAATGCTTCTTTAACACCGATTCTCAACTCTAATCAACTCTAACAATAAACATAAATAAAAAGCATATTACCTACACATATCAATACCAATATTTAACCGAACAATACCCTATATCTACCTACCTAAGCGCATAACAATATACATCTTATATGTTTTAGGGGAGCGCCTCCCCTCAAAACTCTGGGCATCTAATTAATCCCCCGAAAAGAGAAGAAAAACGTCGGTTTCAGCCTCCGCCTCCAAGGCACTCCCGCCCCCGCCAGCGGGCATGAGTCTCTTCAGATATGGTTACCCAATCCTCTGAAAGAATCCTCCAAACATCCCAGCGGCAGGGTCCTGCGGTGACGCAGTTCGCGCAGCAAAATCGAATTTCTGTGCATGACTAATACTCGCTGCTCTGCTCTGCTCTGTCCAGCGGCGGCGGCATTGACAAAAACAAATTGCCAAGGCGGTGACGCTGCTGCGATGCGCTTCTAGTCCGGATTACTCACATTTATGCTGGCTAACTTGCTCCGCAATCCAGGCAATCTGTCGCTGGCTATCTGGCTGGCAGGTTCGACAGGTGTTAAACAAAACGAAAACTTAACTATTTTTGTGGAATTCCAACGCGAATGACGACGTCTTGTTTTTTTTTATTTGCAAGTGTGACCGTCGAGATATGTGGCCGAAATGCCATGCATTGAGCGAAGGCCAGCTGTGATGCACCCAACAAACATTTTTGCGCGCTTTTAAAATATATTTTTAATTCGAAAATTATAGGTGTCTGACCTAAACTTTATATATTTTTTAATTCAAGTGCTAGTAGATATGACTTAGGAGAAACTTCTGTTAAGTTGGATATTTATCATATATTTATTTTAAAATATACTTTATTCGAGCTATAACCTTTTAAAAACATCTTAACTGGAATGAATATATGTATGTTGTTTATTTAGCAAAATTTAGTGTCATAAAATAGTATTATTATCGTGATTTTAAGGTTTTATTTGAATCAGTGTTAGAGTTCCACTTTTTTACTATGTAAATGATGTAGTTTTATATGTGATATTGACAAACATAAATAACAATTAAATATGTAAAATATTAACGAAGATTTAATAATTAGTATTATCTTGTTTATTTTCTTTAATTTGTTCACAATTTTTCCCATAATTTTTTCCTTCAAAAATGAATATCCTTGCAGGGTGTATATCTTAGTCAGGAGCTTGTAACGATGTGAAGGAGTCATTTCCGACCCTATAAATCATATATATTCTTGATCAGCATCAACAGGCGAACCTTTCTAGCCATAAAGGAAAGAAAAAAATTTTTCACAATTTTTTCGAAAGTTTATTAGGGGTTACATCGCAAAAATTATAAAAATTTTGACAAAAAATTTAAATGTTTTAAAATTTTTAATTGAGTATGCAGATTTATTAACCTCATAAAAACTAACATAGGAACGTTTTCCGAAGTGAAATTAGTGCATTTTTGGCTGAGTTATGAAATTTTTTAACTTTGATTTAATGCATTTAAAACCAGTTGGCAGCGCTTTCCTTTGTTGTTGAATTAAAAACCAGTTGGCGGCGCTGATCCGACAACAGCTGACAGCAGGCAGCGCCGACAACAGACTCATAAAAAAGCTCATCACAAACAACACATAACACAAACGATAATAACCAAATAAAAATTAATATATAAATATAAATAGATACTAACAACACACGGGGAATAACACTGAGCAGCACGATGTCGGAGGACAAGCAATTTATAAGGCGCGGCGACAGCAAGGACACCATACACAAGACACAGGAGGTGGACATCTACCGGGACACCTTCATCCGCTATATGGGTGAGAGAATCGATGTGCCCGATTCTGGCAAGAATTCACAGAAGACTGATGTTGGTGATGTGTCCACAGGTTATAGCAACGAAATTGGAGAATCCTTCCGCCCGCTGGTGCCCAAATCTCTGGTGGCAGCCTCATACGGCATGGCCATCGGTTACGTCTGCACGGACACCTTCGACAAGGCGCTGCGCCTCCAAATGGAGGGGGCATCCACCAAAGAGGTGGCCATCAAGGGCGCGGATGTATTCGCCTGGCAGATGATGGCCTCCGTGGCTATACCCGGACTGGTCATCAATCGGTGTGTAGAAACAAGATTTATTATTAGTTGTATCGGTTTAATTATAAGTTATTATTTATTATGCAATGTCTAGGGCTTTAGTTCCACTTTACCGTATATATAACGTTTATTTTTCCATTCATAGTATCACCTGGGCCACGCGTTCACTCCTTACTCGGGCTCCCGTGGCCGTCCTCAAGACCGTGCCCACGCTGGTGGGTCTGGTCAGCATTCCGCTGATCATCCATCCCATTGATAGCCTCGTGGATCGCTTAATGGATGCCACTTTCCGCAGGGTGGTGAGATAGTCGATAACTCATTGGAGGAGCAGCGAGGACCCGCCAGCGCATATACTAATATCCCGGTGATAGATGAGTTTTCAGGTTCGAAACCGTTTGTATTAACTGTAGCCTAGCTGAGCTTTAACCCAAGAATCCAGCTACCTTCACATTTTGTTTATTATTGCACTTTTTTGGGGCGCGGAGCGGGGGGAAACAATTACAAAAATAATCCTTTATACATAATATATATAATAATATTGAGGCAACAGGATGGAATGCCATGCGATCCCGTAGGACTGTCCGGAATCTCTCTAGTTCTGCTCGTCATCGCTATCAATCAAATAGGGACTGTCGAGGGCGCCCAGGCCGGCGGCCACACCGCCCTCATTGGCCGTCGAGAGCTTCGTGCGCAGCATGTGTCCCGCCTGGTAGTTATGGACAATATGCTCGGCATCCCCGATCACCACACCGAAGATGCCCAGCTCAGAGACCATATCAACGATCTGGGGCGGCATATCGCCTCCAGGACGCACCATATAGCCCTTGGTCAGCGGCGGGTGGATGAGGTCCATCAGGATCCAGGCGGAGCGCTCCACGCGCGACATGCGCTGTAAAAAAAGAAGATGAAACTATATATTCCAGATACTTTGGACAGTATTCGATTCCTACAAATATAATGCCTTAATAATTCTTATATTTTCTTTATGAATATAATATTAATTGTATTATTACAAAGCTTATTTCCATTATTCTAGAAAAAGTTAACGAATGAAAGACAAAAAGCTTTAACACAAAGTATAAAATACAAGTTTAAATAGAGATATCTCTTGCGCTTACTCTAAATTCCTAAAAATTATGATTATTAGTCAATTATTGCCAAGAAGATATTCAATAAATATATTAAGTAAAGAGAAAAATATACATTTAACTCACCTTGAGGGCATCGGGAATATCCACACCGTACACATTATTGCCGCCACCTTCTCGCTGTGGCTTCAGCACGAACTTTTCGGGAGTACGCAAAGCCATCTCATAGGTGGCATTGCCTGCCTCATTGTCGTCCAGGGAATACAGACCCGTAAAGATCTTGCCCACCGCCTTAATCTCATCCGGATCATTGATAAAGCGCTCCAATACGGCCGGCTGAGCCAGAGCCTGTTGCACCTTCTTGGTCCCAGCCAAATGATAGTGAATCGATGGACACTTGATGGCCAAAGATGTCTCCATCAAATAGCGGGCATCCCACTCGGCCTGCGAGTGATAGTGACCGGGCTCGTAGCCAGCACGGAAATAGATGACGGCCACCTCCAGATTGCCACTGCAGTAAGGATGATATAAAATTATAGAATATGCTTTGATATATCTTAAAGAGATCTCGTTTTCTTCACTTACAGTAGCAACTCCTTGGACTGGCCCAGCTTGCCCTCTTTGTGGACATCGGTGAGGGTGCGGCGCAGTACCTTGATGTGCGGATAGGTCTCCCGAATGTAGAACTCATGGAAACGCTGATCACAAATGTTATAGGACACGTCCTCGATGATGAACAGGATGACTGCCTTGGGCTTGCCATAAATGTCCCAGGCCTTGACCATGCCATCGCAGAGTCCAGCGAGGGCATTGTTATTCGGCATCTGTTGTAAAGTATTTAATTAAGTAATCGTCTTGAATACATTTTAATAAGAAAAATACTTACATTGTGCAGCTTATCCGCATGTCCCAGCTCACTAAGTACAAATCTGCAAGTGGGTGATGATGACGACGACGAGGAGGAGCAGCCGGAACAGAAAGAGACTGGTTAACAAAATTCTGCTATTGCCTCTCTAGACCCAAATAACAACAAACAAAACAACAGCAACAAACAACAACAAATGTATCGGTGGATGGGTTAATTACTGAGGCCAAAACCACAGGTGACGATGAGAGGGGGTAGTAGTAATTAGAGTTACTGGGCAGTTACAGGAAAATGGTAAAGCTACAGCAATGCGGAAAGGGACAGAGACAGGGCGAGTTTAGATCCAATTATTAAACGCATGCAAATCAATTCAACAACCAATAAAAAGAGATAGAGACATGATCTGCAGGTGCAATCAGTGATCAGTGTTTAATAAAAACTGATCCAGTGCGTGCATGGGTGAGAGGGAGCTATGTTCTGAGGTGTTTTCTTTTTCTTTTGTGTGTGTTGTGCATTCGTGCGTTTGATTAAGAGAGAGTGAGATAGTGGGAGGTTGTGTGAGAGAGAGAGAAGAGCGCTTAATACTTCTGCTGCGGCACCAATTGGGTGGCAATGCCAGCGAAACTGGAGGCCACCGTGTTGATCTCGACCTGCTTTATCGCACAGTCCTCGTACACGTGTGCCATATAGTCGGATCGCAACAGACCGATGCTATAAGCCTGCAATTATGATCATTATACATTATATATACATTAGGTGCGTTACAGCAGCAAAACCCTTAAACGTAACTACATAATACAAGCGGTTTGGTTATCAAAAAAATATATATTTATATATAGGTAAGGTAAGGTAGGGTAGGGTTGGTAGTTGTGATCCCCGTCCGTGTAAGGTCTTAAATTTGGGATGAGAGAGGATAACACAAGTATCATATTTCATATATCATTTAACGATATAGGAGAGCAAGAGAGAGGGCGAGAAATAATGGTGGTAAAATCTTATTAAAGGTGGAAGATGGTACAATGAGTCGGTGCTTTAAAATTCCCCCTATCTGCAGCAGTAACTCCTGAATTAAAAAATTAGCTATATTACAAAAGGCATCAATGTTTATAGATTGAAAATGGATATTTTTGTGTACGAAAATATGGAAAACCTAGCTTGCTTCCATTATAATCTATAAGATCTATGTTTATCGACTTCAAATAGAATTTTAGTATATTATTTTGAGTTCTAGAAAAATATAATAGGAACTTGAGTTGAATTCTTCATGATTAAAACATTTAAAAGATATAAATAGTATTTTTTAAGCTAATTTGAAACCTTATCTGCTGGCTGCATGTATTTCACAATGTAATTATGAGTAACGAGTTTTTTATTTCCCATTTTTTTATCCCGTCATCATTAACAGCAGCTGACACCCACTCGGCTCTAATCTGTTCAAAAATATGTTTACGTCATGCCAGAGCCCAACAATTGAGTAAACATAACTACAAATAAATTGTTTAAAACAAAATACTGTACACGAGTTGATGCTTTATGGGAATTTCCAGCTAAGCCGAGCTAACCTGATGGATTTGAGGCAACAGAGATCAGTTTCCTGACTCTCCAGAGTTTGTAATTAAACCCTAATGAAATAAATATGAATGTGTGTGTATAGTTTTGCACCTGAAAGGTGCACACCCGGTGTTATCATCGCCCGGCTCCGCTCTAACCAAACAATTAACAGGCGTTAACGTATCTATATCAGCCCCATAGTCCCCCTGGGGCCCTATCTATAGGTGGGAGGGAGGGTCCAAAATATGACCTTGAAACGTATGTATATTGATTTAATATCTAACTTCTTTTGGGGGGACCATGTATTATAAACTACTCTTGGAATTTAATTTATGCTATCTGCTTGGAAAAATAGCTTTGATTGATTGATTAAATATGAAATCTAATCTAAGGTGTGTCTAAAAGCATTTATAACAATCAGTATTATAAATAATATACTATAACACTTGATTATTTATTACTACAATATTCTTATACTTTAAACGAATTTTAAAATATAATTATAAATACTTTCTGACACCTTTTTCCGGTATTTCTTTATGGAAACCCTCGAAAGCTATCTGGAAAAAGGGACCCGTACTAGGAGACTTTAAATGGGGGAGGGAAAAGTGTAGAGGCAATGGCTTGGCTTCGGTTAGATTAGGAGCAGGTGGCAGGTGCAGAAAAGCAGAAGGCAGCGGATCAAGAGGTCAGGAGACGGAAGGCAACAGGCAACAGGCGGCGGCGATGTATAAAATTCACAATTAATTAACTACGCAACATTCGCAAGGATAATTAAAGGCATTCAGGCAGATTATCAGCAGCTACATACATACAAATATATATAATAACTATATATATATAAAATTGGAAAGAATTCATCAACACAGCAATTAAGATACAAGGACACTACAAGCACCAAACACTCGCACACACAGCAACACAAGATGATCAAAGAAATATAGTTGAATTTTATAAATTATACGTATTGATTTCCAATTCTACTTAATTATTTAATTAAGAAATTTCAAGAGATTTGATTTTTCAATAATACAGAACTCGGACAATGCTTTAAATCTTTTAAAACTCTTCGCAAAATCAATATAAAGGATCGTCGCTGGATCTAGGTGTTAATTTGTGTGTGAGTGTGTGGTTAGGCTGAGGGTTCAAGCAATGCAGGAATATGCAATGAGAGTGGGTTTTATGATAGTAATAAATTTAGAGTTAGAGCTTGGAAAATATCGTTTAGAATTGACTTTTCTGTATACAAAAACATTGAAATTTTCAATTTTTACATTATTGCAAAAGCAACATCAAAGAAAATCAACTGAAAATTAACTTTGATGATTGAAAACATCAAGGTTTATCAATTTAAAATCAAAAATCTTACATTTTGTATACAAATATAGAACAAATCAATGTTTATCGCCTTAAAAACGATTATTTCTATACAAAAACATTAAAAACTTCGATATTTTCCAGCTCTACTAGGAGATGAGAGCTGAGAAGTGATGATGGTGGCAGTGGTGGACACAGCACCTTTGTATGGTTTTACTTGCTGGTCCCAAATGGCCAAAGCCCGAAGCTATTGTATTGATCTCGACTTGTTTCCAGCAGCAGTAAGCGGACTGAATGGTATTGGCCACTTTTTGCTTCAGTTGCTCCTCCTCCTGCTCCGTGCTCGCTTCCGCCGCCGCCGCTACTACCTTCCTGCCAGTGCCAGCTGCAGCAGTCCCCACAGCATTTACAGCCATATCCGCATCCACAGCCACACAGTCCAAATCCAAATCCTCACCAGCCGCCGGACGCTGGGCCCGCGGTGATAGCTCCGGACAGCCAGACTCCAGCATTAGGTCGCTGCGCAGCATTCCCAGCGATATTTTCTTCGATTCGTATTATTTTTCATGGTAGCAGATATAGCGATGCGCAATGAGTGACGGATAATAATGGGAGCAACAGATTTTGTGATTGAGATTTCGATATTTCAAGAGTATTTTTTTGTTTGTACAAAATTGCTGGGTTAGGATATTATTTTGGGGACGGGAATATATACTTGTGACGACGAGAAAAGCGGAAATTCTTTACAAAATTGCGGCACAGAAAAAAACTTGGACTATACATTAAAAAAAAACTAATCTAGGTGATCATATTTGATTTAAAGCAACAGTTTTTTTCTGTGCGCACTTCGTTGAGGGGGAAATTAATAATTAATGAATGTTATAATCATAAAAAAAACAAGGTACAAGGTGTGAGGTGAGAGGATAGCAAGAAAGAGCAAGTGGGCTAGGCCTTTTTGGGGGTCAGGGACATATATATTCATATATATGGGGTCTGTGCTGTGCTGCCCTACAAGCGGCTACCTCCTGAGCGAACCAACACGATAAGGAGCTGCAAATGTCCAGGATGCTCGCATAAATCACGCTAGATTAGCGACTATATAACTCGGAGACGGAGCCGGAGCCGGAGTTTAGCTATGACTATTGGCCGGGCGATTTATGGAAGGACCGGGCGGGGCGGTGCCGGGCATGACGATAAGATTGTGAGCCCTAATAAATAAAAGAGTTCTCTAGCAAGAAACCCACACTGGCTGCGCCCTGCTGATGTGCTCCCGATGGATGGATGATGGTCGGATACGGTGCTTGACTCAGATGTAGGTTATGCGAGGGGGCAAAAGGGGGGATTGTTTATGCTTGGACTGAATCTCACCTGGGTGAAGCCGTGCGCCAGGACCTTTCGATATATGTTGAACAGATTGGCCGTGAACTCGTCCACCTTGATCGTTTCCGCCAGCGTTGTGGTGATGAACTCCTCGTCGTGGGCCACATTGTGCATTAACCGATTAATAATTGGCTGCAGGGCCACCGCCTTTTCGAACTCCTTGCGGGGAAATGACGATGGAACCAGCACGAAGGGTGCGAACTGCAAAAGAAACGTCAAGTTAATAACTAGCTGCTAAGGAATCACTTTAGAAACTTTGAAACTATTTATATATCAAAATACATATAAAAGCTCGTGGGGAGAACTATCATAAAATCAATACAAAACAGAAAACCCATTTTCCATGAAAGTTCTACACACGAAGCTAGTCTTACGTTGAGGGAATCCGGGCTAAAGGCGGTCTTGGAACGCATGGCAGCGCCGTGCATGATGGCATAGTCCTTGGCCTTGGCCGTCACCTCCAGCAGCTCGTCCTCCGGCAGCGGCAGACGGATGCAGTTGGGCAGAACGGGTGTGTTGGCCTCGCTGGACATGGTGATGATGATGTTGATGGGATCTGTGGGGGATCGGCGGATACGGGACTGCTGCTGCTACAAAACGAAAGCGTAAATAAGTCCAACAGCTCCATGGCAATCTCAAGCTAGTCTGGATATGTCTGCTCACCGGGACTGCTCGCTGGGCACTGAAATGTGTGTGTATGGAGCGACTTGCTCTTTGGTGTGTGCTGGAACTATCTCTATTTCGTCAGCGGCTGTAAAAACACTCACACGCGCTCCAACGTTGGCGGCTGTTGTTGTGGCCTTTCGCTCACGGTTTCCGTGGTGATACACGTCCCGGATTGGATGGACGCGCTGGGGATTTACACACCGTTCTGAATTTCGGAGGGAATTTCGATATGGATACCGCCAAAATAACCAAAAAATGACACGAAAGGAAAATAAAGATAAAACTCTCGAAAAACCAAATATATTAGAGATGGGCGGCAGCGGCCAGCTGTGAGGATAGCGTGAGTCACGAGACACATCAGTGCAGCAAAGTCTGGCAACGCCACTTCGTAAACGGTCATCTGCCTTTAAAAAAAAGATTTGTAGCCTTGTGCAGTTCTCTCTCTCTCTCAAAAATCGAACTTTTCTTAAAAACTTTGCATCCAATCGATTAATCAATTGAAAAATGGTTACAGTCACTGAAGAGATGAAAAAACAGTCTGGCAGCCCCAACGATTGTATCGATAAAAGCTAAAAGCAGCTCTCTAATTAGTCTCCGGGTAATTTTTTTTGGTGTTTACACATAATCTAATACGAGGAATTACCTGCAAATTTGATCAAATAAAACGAATTTGTGCTGTGCCGGATTCGCCCGTCGTCGTCGGTTTCAGTTGTTCTCGATCTTATCGTCTGCATTCGCGCTCGGTATCCAATTGAAGTTGCGGAGGAGCAAAAAACCAAGTCGGCGAATTTTTTTTTGGCAAAAGGAAGGAATATAAACCAACTGATTGTTGTTGTTGTGAACACGGTGTTGTGCGAGATAAACTTTAAGCCGAAAATCTTAAAAGGCAGTGAAAGAAAACGGAAAATCTTGCAGCTGGCCGGTCCCCTCCCGCCGACGCCCCTTTGCCCCCCATCCCCCTCGGACGCGACGCTGTGCGTGCATTGTTGTTGTTTCCGTTCATCTGGATTGCACTGCTCGCTCTCTGCAAATAGTTGTTTTTTTTTGTTTTGCGTGTTTTGTTGCTCCCCTTTCGGTTCGGTTTTTTAGGTGGAATAAGATTAAACAGTATTGCTAAGCTATGTCGAAAAACAAGCTGAATCTGGTGCTGCCGCCGGTGAATACGGAGGCAACTGTTGCCGCCGCCCAAGTGGCGCCGACACCGCCATTCAAAACCCCCTCGGGCACAGAGTAAATATGACATTTTTCTGCACTTGTGTTTCTTTTGGACAACCCCTAACCCCTTCCCGTTCCATTAACCCACTGCGCCGCAAATTTGCCATTTCATTTCCCTTTGATAAGATTTCCCATTTACCTGCAATTAATTTTCTCCGATTGATTGATTCGACGAAATTCAATCCCCCAAAAAGGACAGGGAGAGCGAGGTAAAAAAGAGTGAGAGAGAGAAAAAGGAAGAGGAAGAACCGCTAGTGTGGGTGTTTTTGGACCGTTCTTTTCTGAAATGACGCACGCACACACCCACACCTGTCCACAGTAACGGTCGAAATAATAGGCAATAACTGTAACTGTTATAATTGCAATAAATTGGGCAAAAATCGCAAAATATCATTAAGAATAGAAAAATAACCCAGCTTCCACATCTTCCCATCCCATCCAATTGCCTCCTCCACAATTTTACATTTTCGTTTTGGCTCGCAAAAATTCATTAAGAGGTTAAATTAAAGCACACACAGTTTGCTGGGCAAGCCGAAGACGAGCATCGATGCGCTAACGGAAACGCTGGAGGGCCTGGACATGGACGACACCGAACGGAAGCGGATCAAGGTGTTCCTCAGCCAGAAGGAGAAGATTGGCGAGCTGTCCGACGAGGATCTGGAGAAGCTCGGCGAGCTGGGCTCTGGCAACGGCGGCGTCGTGATGAAGGTCCGCCACACGCACACACACTTGATTATGGCCAGGAAACTGATCCATCTGGAGGTCAAGCCGGCAATCAAGAAACAAATCCTGCGAGAACTGAAGGTCCTGCACGAATGCAACTTCCCGCACATTGTCGGCTTCTACGGGGCCTTCTACAGCGACGGCGAGATTAGCATTTGCATGGAGTACATGGATGGCGGCTCCCTGGACTTAATCCTTAAGCGTGCGGGCCGGATACCAGAGTCCATCCTAGGACGTATCACGCTGGCGGTGCTCAAGGGCCTCAGCTATCTGCGGGACAAGCATGCCATCATCCACCGGGACGTAAAGCCGAGCAACATTCTCGTCAACAGCAGCGGCGAGATTAAGATCTGTGATTTCGGCGTCTCCGGCCAACTAATAGACTCAATGGCCAACTCCTTTGTGGGCACCCGCAGCTACATGTCGGTGAGTTGTCCTACCTTGCTTCCCATCTGGAGAGACCTCTCTAATAATGCTTTTTCCCTTCGTCCACTTGCAGCCCGAGCGATTGCAGGGCACACACTATTCGGTGCAGTCGGACATCTGGTCGCTGGGCCTGTCGCTGGTCGAGATGGCCATCGGCATGTACCCCATCCCGCCGCCGAACACCGCCACCCTGGAGTCCATATTTGCAGACAATGCGGACAATGATGGCGGCCAGCCGGTGGATGAGCCGCGGGCAATGGCCATCTTCGAGCTGCTGGACTACATTGTTAACGAACCGCCGCCGAAGCTAGAGCACAAGATATTCTCCAACGAGTTCAAGGACTTTGTGGACATTTGCCTCAAGAAGCAGCCCGACGAGCGGGCCGATCTCAAGACCCTGCTGGTAAATGCTATTGTTTCTACTTGCTGCGCAATTTAACCCATTCGCGGCGAATGGCTTTTAGAGATAGTTTCCTTACGGGTTAATGTATTAACGATTTGCATCTGTTTTTTCCCTTGCAGAGTCATCCCTGGATACGCAAGGCGGAGGTGGAGGAGGTGGATATATCGGGCTGGGTGTGCAAGACAATGGATCTGCCGCCGTCGACGCCAAAGCGGAATACGTCGCCCAACTAGATGTGGCCGCCATGGATCCCCCGATCCCCGGTACCCGATTTTCAGCCTCTTCCCTATCCTATGTATATCCGCTCACGCATACACGTTATTTATTTGTATGTTGCCCATGTACTGTTGTATCATATGTAGGCGGATATATATATAATTTATATATACGTTTTAGGTGTATATGCATGTTATATATATCCAGTTCTTTCGATTCCTTCCGATGTCTCTGCGTGTGTGGTGCCTCCTCCTTTCGCCAGCCCCCCATCAGCTCTTTGTCTAACTTCGCGTTGGCGCCGAGCAAAAACAACTGAATAAAAGACCTTGCAATTAAATCGAAAATAAAGAAATCGAAGTCATACCATGTATACATATAAAATGCCTTTTTCGTCTTAGTCGGCGGGTTGTGCTCAAATTAACCATTTGTTTTTGCAGTGAAAACACAAAGTAAATTAAACTTAGTGCACATTTTATTGAGAAAATATCCTGTTATGCAAAGGGATTATTCTTTTTTATGAATATTTTTAATATTCCATCAACCAAAATGCATTCTTAGCACAAGGAAAGCCAAGTTTCTTATAAATTAGACTTTAACCCAAGTTTAAACACGCGCCAACCGCCATAATATGACAGTTAAGTGGCAACACTTTTATCGATTTGCTTCGATTAAATACGCAAATTTCATATAAGTAACTCCACAAATAAATTAACCAACATGAGTAGTATTTTTCTATTTAATATGATCTAAAAAACTTGAATTCGATCCCATCACAAAAGCATTGGTTATAAAGTCAAAGTAGTTAGCAAAGTTAGTTAACTGGCAACGCCATAAAGTTATTGTTATCGAGCGCTTCACATAGGACGCCAATAGTTTCCATCTCTAGCTCGTGTGTCAAAATAAATAGGTAAGACAAAAAAAGTCGAATCAAAACAAAAAGAAGCAAGAGCAGAAAAACAGCTGTAGTTAGTTGAGTGTATATAAACACAAACACACCCGTGGCGCAGTTCATGATAAGCGATTTGCAATTGCAGAGATCCGCAGCACGCAATTGCGCGGGGCGTTTCGACCAATTGAAAGAAATCAAAGAGCGACGAAGGAAGAGAGCTCCAGCTAAGGAGAGAAAAGGAGAGAGAGCGACACGAACACAAACGCAAACGCAAACACAACAGACGCAAATTGAGGCAAGGCAGTGTTCTTTGTTGCAAATTATAGTGGGGCCCACCTACCACCGCTCCACCCCTCGCCACTGGCCCCCCTCCCAGCTGCAGTGCGACGCCAAAGCATACGCTTCCCGGCCGATCGGGGTTCTGCAGTGCGACAGTAGATCCAAGACAGAGCTCCTATGCAGACGTCCCTCTCTCTCTCGCACTGAACAACTCGCCGCTGTCGCCGACTGCAAATTGGAAGGAGCGCAAGTGCAAGTGCAAGTGCAAGTGAAGCGGAAGCGGAAGTGGAAGCGGAGCCATGTCGGCGGTTAATCAAAAGGAGAGTCCCAGTCGGGAATCGACAGCCTCGACATCCGGCAACGTCTCCATGCAGGGTGACAACACTATGGAGTCGCTCTCCAGGGACTACAGCATGGGCAGCCTCAATTCGGCCGGCAGCCAGGACGAGTTCTATCGCTCCCGTGATCATGCCGACACTATCCTTAAACGGATGCAACACTACGTGGACAGCCAGCAGCTCTGCGACGTGGTCCTCATCGCTGGAAACGATGGCAAGCGGTAAGTTAAAATCGGGCAAGTCGCAAATCTCTGATCGAGACAAAGAATTGGAAAGTTCATTAGCGATTCCCTCCCGCTCCCTTCCTCCTTCCTCCTGCCTCCCTCCCCCCTGCTGACCTTCACTTCGACGCAATTCACTTGGGTTCTTTGTCTGTTTTCCGTTTCTGTTCTCTGTGCTGCGCTGCGCTGCGCTGTCCCCAACGCAATTCCAACAGTAAACACAGACACACATACGCACGCAGGGAGCGACAATTATTGACAAGATAATAGCACGCACTAAGCCAGTTAAGATTAGGTTATTAAGGATATTGTCGAATTTACCCAAATTAAATGCTTTTGTTTAGGAAAAAAGTGGTGGATTGATGCAATACGAAATGATTTTTGATAAAAAATAAGCTACAACTGATCTCTTAGAGAAACATATTCAATCAATCAACTAACTCAATTGATTTAATTGAGACGGTTCAGACTTTCTCTGTTTGATCACATACTGCTTTATACCAATGTATAACGGTTTTATATATATTTATTTATTGTACATATTTAGTTTACAATTAAAACAGTTGCAGGAAGTCAAACAAAATAAACTAGACTTAAAACCTCCAAGAATATCTGAAATATGATATTTAAGAACGAGTAACAGCTGTGAGATTATATTTCTTCTTGTTAAGCAAGTGTTCCGCCTCATTGGCTTTATTACTTTGAAAGATTTATTAGTCAGCTTTTATTATTTAATGTTTTTTTTCAAATTACAATATAGTTGATCATGTCCGATTATACTTTTCATACTCATCAACAAGATAACAAAACGTAGTTGTTTATCGCAATCGCAATACGTAGCAAGTTTATTAAACCCATAAATAATAAATAGTAACTAGAAAAATATTAAATAACTGAAGAACTTTCAAGTGCTACTCTTTTGAACGTTACTGTGAATGCGTCGCACTAATTGCGACTGCAAAAGTGCAGAGAGAGCGAAATGGAGCTTGAGAGAGGCCAAGTGACTCGCAGAGAGAGAAAGCTTTGTTTTCCTTCTGAGAACAATGACAGTGCAACGCAACAGCGAAAGATCAATCTCAAAACAAAGACAGCGACAGAGTGGAGGGGCAAAAACAACTGCAGCATGAAGAAAACGTTAAAAAAGAAATGAAAAGATACATAGATCCAACGATTTCCGATCGAGATTTGTGCCGCGATCCCCAAGTGCAGTTGTGCGGCATTAACATTATTTTATTTCCTCAACCGCTCGGCTGCGCCTGCGCATGCGCCTGCACTCAACCGGTTTTGCGGATCGTGAAAACCTGCTGATCTGTGCCACAATAAACAAAGAGGCAAGAACGCCAAAGCATATGCACTTACACAGCATACAGTGCGTTTCGAAACCATCAGTGTAGCAGCATATACAGCTAGGGTCAAAATAGCTTATTTCCTACGTAAAGATCTTTGAAGAATGCTTGAATCTATGCAAATTTGGAATCTATAAAATATACAATACTAAAATAATCAGAGTTTTATTGATTTATATGTACATTTTATACCCTTTCAAAGTATTATAATTATAGTCTGATACTTAAAACGCAGTGAAGGAGTCATTTCCGACCCTATAAATCATATATATTCTTGATCAGCATCAACAGGAGAATCTTTTTAGCCATGTTGGAGAGAAAACAATTTTTAGTAAATTTTTTCAACATTTTTTTAAGGGGTTTTATCGTTAAAATTTTCAAAAAAATTAGAATTTTTTAAATTTGTAAACTAAATGTGCAGATTTGTTAAACTACAACAAACTAACACAGAACTGCTTTCCGAATTGAAATTAATGCATTTATGCCAGAGTTATGACAAATTTCCACCTAGAAAAATCTACAAACTTTAGCTTTCTTTCTTGTTTTATGTACCATAATTAAATTATTCCATGATAATTCCATGATAATAAAAAATAAAAATAAAATTAATAATTCTTTGAACTTTGCAAAGATCTACAAATTTTGGCTACCCGAAGAAACCAATAATTCAATGATTCCAAGATAATTCCATGATAAGCTCTTAATAATTCTTTGAACTATTCAAAAATATATATAATTTAAATTAAATCAATATAAAAATCCTTCAATCTTTCACAGAGTATCCGCCCATCGTCTGGTGCTATCGGCCTCCAGTGCCTACTTCTCGGCCATGTTCACGGGATCGCTGCGCGAGACCAAGGAGCAGGAGGTGACCCTGGGCGAGGTGCATGGCGATGCCCTGCATATGCTGGTGCAATACTGCTACACTGGATTCATCGAGATGCGCGAGGATACCGTGGAAACGCTCCTGGCCACGGCCTGTCTGCTTCAGTTGAACGAGGTGGTCAACGCCTGTTGTAATTTCCTAGCCCGCCAGCTCCATCCATCCAACTGCCTTGGATTCGCCTTCTTTGCGGAGCAGCAGAGCTGCATCACACTGCTCCGGCTGGCGCAGTCCTACACCTGTCAGAACTACATGCAGGTGTGCCAGAATCAGGAGTTCTTCCAGTTAAACGCCGATCAACTGACGAAGCTGCTGGGCAGCGACGATCTCAATGTGCCCTCGGAGCAGGACGTCTTCCACAGTCTGATGTCGTGGGTGCGCCACGACCCCACTGCCCGCGAGCAGCACATACCAGATTTGCTGGCCCTAGTGCGCCTGCCGCTTCTGAAGCCTGCCTTTATTATGGATCACGTGGAGAACGCGTGCAAGGCCAACGCGTGCCAGAAGCTAGTAATGGAGGCCTTCAAGTGGCACCTAATGCCGGAGCGCAGGTCCCGCATTGCCACAGAACGAACTAAGCCCCGCAAGTCGACGGTGGGTCGTCTCCTGGCCGTCGGCGGAATGGATGCCCACAAGGGTGCCATCAGCATTGAGAGCTACTGTCCGCGGCTGAACAAGTGGACACCGTGGAAGCACATGACTGGTCGTCGGTTGCAATTCGGCGCCGCTGTGTTGGAGGACAAGCTGATCTTGGTCGGAGGCCGCGACGGACTAAAGACCCTAAACACCGTGGAGAGTCTTGATCTAAATACAATGGTCTGGGCGCCGTTCAATGCAATGGCCACGCCACGTCATGGACTGGGCGTGGCGGTGCTGCATGGACCGCTCTATGCGGTGGGCGGTCACGATGGCTGGAGTTACCTGAACACTGTGGAGAGGTGAGTGAGTGTGGGAACGAGTGAGGGGTCTGTGGTAATATGTTTGTTTATCTTGATTCAGATGGGATCCCATTGCACGCAACTGGAGCTATGTGGCACCCATGTCCTCGATGCGTTCCACCGCCGGCGTGGCTGTGCTAGGCGGTCGCCTGTATGCTGTGGGCGGACGTGATGGTTCCGTCTGTCATCGTTCAATTGAATGCTACGATCCGCACATCAATAAATGGAGTCTCTTGGCTCCAATGAACAGGCGACGCGGAGGTGTCGGTGTAAGTAAATCGACAATACTATAGATAGAACTAATTAAGGATGCTCTCCTGACACTAACACAAACCTTAATCCAATAGGTGACGGTGGCCAATGGCTTCCTGTATGCTTTGGGTGGCCACGATTGCCCAGCCAGCAATCCCATGGTTTGCCGCACGGAGACAGTGGAGCGCTATGACCCGGCCACCGATACGTGGACACTGGTGAGTCCTCCATCTCTCTCTCCCCCTGTCCAGTTTAATTATGATTCTCCTCACAGATCTGCTCGCTGGCCGTGGGCCGAGATGCTATTGGCGCCGCCCTGCTAGGGGATCGTCTTATCGTCGTCGGCGGCTACGACGGCAATCATGCGCTCAAGAACGCTGAAGAGTACGACCCGGTGCGGAATGGATGGAACGAGTTGGCGCCGATGGCCTTTGCCAGGGCCGGTGCCTGTGTGGTGGCCATTCCTAATATTATATCGCCAGCGACCCAGCAGACGCCGCCCGGTGCTACAGTTTAGTTTAAATCCACTCCGCTTTCGGTTTCAGTGTAGTCTCTCGTCAATTGAATCGCCACAAAGGGTTGTAATTCATTGATATCCCGTTTCGGAAAGCCTCTTTTGAATACTTTTTCAATTTTTGAAATCTTCCTCGAATGGTGGTCGATGCTTTTGGTGAAAGTTAGCACTGAAATCGAACTTTTTAAAGTAGTTGTTGTTACTGTTGTTGCTGTGAGCTGCTCTTGTTCTTTTGAACCCAGCCAAGTGTTGCTAAACGCAGCTAGCAGCACAATTGCGCCGCCGCCTCGCTCTCGTCTCTGTGTTCTTTGACATTGATATCGCTTTTGCTATTGTATATGACACAACAACCAAACCCCGTTTATGGCATCACTCATTCCCTAAAGCATTCCAACACAAAAAAGAAACCTACTTTCCAAAAGAAGGTACATACCCGTGAAATCTCATAGATTTTATAAGAAACGCATGCAGCTACTGCGAGGCTTTCAAGCTAACCTTGTTCTCTTCCTACCTACCTACCTGTAATTAACCGAATGTATAAACAATCGCTATAACTTGTAGTTACTGTCCCATCGTCAGCACTCACTACATGCTTTGCACCACACACCGCACACTAAATGCATTCCGAAATCTCCATTGATATCATTTAAATCGGAGCTCGTAAGATGGTTTTATTGTTATAATCATGCCACATCTCTCCCAAAGAGAACAGAAACTGGAAGCAATCTTGCGAGCTCTGGTCTAAACTACTATACTATACTATATATCCTAGACTATATAAGACTGCGCCAAGCCAAAATTCCAAAATTCAAAAAGAAAATAGGGAAGAAGATACATTGCATGTAAAGTGTTAATTTCTACTACATTTAAAAGACAAAACGAAAACAATCAAAACAAAGACATACATAGCTGCGAATGCGCTTAGTTTTAGTTAGTGAAATAATTGTGTATGTTAACGTATGGCATTATCTGAATGATTTCGATATCAGTTTGCATTATTTTAGTTAAGTTATTGTTTTCGATATAGTAGCCTGTAAGTATTAGAAATATTTGTGTGCGTGCGTACAGAAAACGAGCATTTATTTCTAATTTATTATTATGTTTTCTTATTTCTTTCTTTTCCCATTCTTTTATTTCCTCCATTACGATTGATTGCATTTAACGCTCGCGTGTGTTCCTTAGAAAACGAAGAAGTGGAAGCCAGTACGATTGGATCCAATCTGGCTTAATAGGCCTTCAAGACCTGTTGCGGGTGTCGGGGTCGTGAACTTGTAAATGCAAAAATGAAAAAAACAAAAAAAAACTTGGAAAGAAAGCAAACCAGACAGAGCAACAAGCAAGATAAACAAACTATAAACATTTAAGCCAAGCTACGAAAAAAAAACACAAAAAAACAACAGACAAGAAAAATACAAAATATGGATGAGAATTTCAAATTTTACGTATTATTTTATATTTACACCCATATACATACATTATATATACATATACATATATATATATTTTTACACAAAACATACACTATGCATAAATGTATTTTTTGTAAAATAAAGCGATAAATAAATCGGTTATTTCTCCAGCAATTGGAACTGTGAACATCGAGAATATAAAAGAATTATAATTGGGTATTTAAGAAGGTTTATTAATTTATTATATTTCTGTGTGGAATATCCAAATTTTTTCAGTTTGCTAGTCAAGAAACTGTATCAGCACTCATTATGCTGAACATTTTATTTGATTTTTATTATTTAAATATAATAAATTTAATTTGTCTTTCCTATGAAGTTGTTGAATTTGTACTTGGCAATTTTATGTGAGTTTCCTGATACTGTTAAGCTTTATAGAGGGCAGATCTTTTAAAATATCCAATTTTTAAGTGTTTTATTTTTTCTAAAATTATATATATTTTTTTAATTTTATATACAAAAAACAAAAGAAACACCTGCTATAAATGTTTATAAAGTAGGGACCAACTCTCATACTTTTAATGCCCTTGCAAACTTCTAACCAAATTTCAAAGTAAAGTAATAATTTCCGACCCTATAAACCATATCAATTCTTGATCAGCATGATCAGCCGAATCGATTTAGCCATGTTTAAATTAAAAAAAAATCAACAAAAATTTTAATTTTCTTAAGTATTAAATGCAGTATGCAGATTTATTACCGTCAAAAAACTAAGACAGAAAAGCTTTCCAAAATGAAATTAATTCATTTTTGACTTAGTTATTCATTTTTTAAACTTTGATTTGTTAAAAATAAAATATCAAATAAAAATATCGACTTTAAAATTCTTGTACACGGAATTATAATTTTAATCTGTGAAGGAGTCATTTCCGACCCTATAAATATTATATTTTCTTTATCAGCATCAACAGACGAATATTTTAAGCCCTGTAGGAAAGTAACAAATAATTTGTGTCATTTTTCAAAATTTTATAACGTAAAACAATTTTATAAAAAATATATTGTTTAAATTTTAAATCATTTCAATTTGATAAATTAAAGCCACCGTTATCGGACACTTATCGATAGCAGGCGAGAGTCTGGCAACGCCGCGCAGTGCCGTTTGTCATTGGGTGGAAATTAATATAGAAAATAAATTAAATTAACTTAATTAGATTGCAAGATCCGCGAACGGAAGACGCGGAGTTGGCGACATGGAAGCGGAGCACCTGAAGCGTCTGGAGGCCAAGGAGGCGGACCACATCCCGGCCATTCTCGACGAGTTCAACACGAAGGTAAGGGAGCACAAAGCTCAGGATTTTCCCTTCCCTGTAATTACCGGATCATTTTTCTTATTGTTTGTTTGTTTGCGTTTGGGCAGAATGCGGATTTGCTGGTCTTCGACAGCTTCCGCACGGACAATCAGTGGCACGAGCTATGGCTGGCCATCTTCGGGATTCTGGAGGAGCAGCGGCTGAGTCACCTGCATACGCAGTGCCTGAACACAGTGCGGATTCTGACGCGGGATGAGTTCAGCCTGCAAACGAATTACATCGAGCAGGAGGTGAACACCCTGCTGAGGCTGGCCAGAATAGAGGCCAGCTCCTTGAAGCTGCCGGCCACGCCGGACGAGCTGAAGCAGCAGGAGCGCGAGGAACCGCAGCTGGAGCCGAGCAAGGCCCAGTCGGAGGTTATAGCCGAGGCTCTGAAATGCCTCTGCAATCTGGTCTACCAAAGCTCTGACTGCCGGCGTCAGTGCCTCAGGCAGCACTGCCTGGACGCCATCCTCAAGCGTGTGGCCAGCTCCATGCGACATCCTTGCGCCCTGGAGTACTACGATATGAAGCTGCTCTTCCTGCTCACTGCCCTGGAGCCGGCGGCACGTTCCCGCCTCCAGATCGATCTCAATGGCCTCACGTACATGACCAAGTGGCTGGACGACAAGCTGGGCGAGGAGGTTGCCGGCGAGGAGCAGCTGAACATCATCTGTGAGCTGCTCAAGGTGATGTTCAATGTGACAAGTGCTCCGGACAAGAGTCCCAACGAGTACGAAATCCAGAGCTTACATTTGACGGGCGTGCTGCGGGAGCTGCTGCTTCGCTTCGGCGACATGACCACCGACAAGGAGCGCGCCGTGGTGACCCATGCCATTAATCTGCTGACCAATATCTCGGGCAGCTGCCTCACCGAGCTCACCCTGCGCTGTTCGAATGCAGAAGAACAGGCCCGGGAGCAGGACAAGCGCCAGGAGAAGGAGAAGGAGAAGGAAACACAGGCGGATGCAGAGACAGGTGCCCGGGCCAAGCCTCCTCAGTGCTGTTCGCAGTGTTACGAGAAGCGGAATGTCCGCAGTCTGGCCGTGCTGCTGCGCTATCTGCGTCAGTCACTGGCCCAACAGGAGGCCGAGGCCAGTTCCCACGAGCTGTTGTCGCCGGTGCTCACGGTGCTGGTGAAGTGTGCTCGCAGTGATCGCGTCATGCGTCATTATCTGCGTCAGGAGATCCTGCCACCGCTGCGGGACGTAAGCCAGCGCCCAGAGATTGGCCAGGAGTTGCGCAATCATTTGTGCCGCTTCCTCACACTGCCCGCCATGATCCTGCGCGATCTGTCCGCCGAACTGCTGTTTGTCCTGTGCAAGGAGGACGTGGGCCGCATGATCAAGTATACGGGCTATGGCAACGCAGCCGGACTATTCGCTAAGCGAGGCATACTCGACTGCCGGCGAGTGGAGGGCGCCGACTACTCATCGGACAGCGAGGACAGCGACACAGAGGAGTACAAGCAGCAGCAGCAGGGCATCAATCCGGTGCTGGGCTGTGTGGAGCCACGCAGCAAGCCAAATCCGCTGGACGAGATGAGTGACGAGCAGAAGGAGTACGAGGCCATGCAGCTGGTCAATCTCATCGAACAACTGCGACAGGGCGGCATCGTTAAGCCGGCGCTGATCGATAAGGATGGGCGGCCGCAGCCACTGGAGCACATCCTTCAGCTGCAGGAGGAGTTGCCGCAGCAGCAGCTGGATCAGAAACGGAAGACCTAAGCTTAAGTTGCTTAAGCTGGGCTGGCAGAGGATATCTAGAGGGTTCTGCTATGGCGACGCTTCCAGGCAACAGAGCTACCAAAAATAATCACCGTGAGAACCCAGCATTTATTTCACAGCAAGGCCATAGATTTTGTAGCTTTAAATGTGTTCCAAGTGGGGGAATGGGTCAATGACCTCGCAGCATTATATCCTTTGATCCCTTTCCAAGGGAAGGGGGGATATATTTTCCGAGCATTATGAGTAATTATCTGTTTAATCGTTACAATGTCGGTCTGTCGATAAGTTTGCATTATTAATTGATGATTTATCTATCGTCCTTTTAACGTATTCATATAACTTGATGAGTATTGCTAGTGAAATATATACGATAGTATTCTTAGCATTTCGTTGCCATATTAAGAGTTTGCCCAGCTATTCGGGAGCCGATATCATAGCATCTCTAAACTTGATAACATACATAATACAAAAAATGCAAAACAATCGTTGGGATCGTCTTCCGACCTTGGGGAAAGTGTGATGAAGGGAAGGAAACCAAAACTGAATTCTTTTATATAGATAAATTTTGACTAATCCTTGTACTAATAGCTAAGTGCATGTCTCTATATATTTATATAAACTCCAAATATACACTTACCATCCATAGGTAGCAAGATCGAGGAATGATATATACTAAAATAGATCCATTTTCACTCTCAACTCCCTAAGCTAATCATGTTGTCTGTGTGTAACTTTAGTCTGTAACTCTTAGAACTAGCAATTAACTAACAAACTAACAAAGGAAAGTTATTAGGGGGCGGAGGAAGAGGGTAAACCCACACCAAATAATCGAAGTTGCAAAGTTCCATGGAACGATTCCAGAGCTGGTTTTTGAGATCTATATACAGGAAAAATACCTATATAGAGCTTTATTGTGTTCAATTTGCTATAGCGATAGATGATCCACTTACATATACCATATATGTACAATGATATATATACATACATATGTTATGTACACCGATACATCATTATAATTGTTGTTGCCGTTGTGTGTGCGTGTGTGTGTATATGCTAATACTTAAGTGTGACTATCCTAAGCTTAACAATAAATCAATCAAAGTCTTGCAAATCAAATTCAATGGTTCAATTCTGAAAAATGCTCGTTTCTTATTATTAAGGAAGGTCGTACAAAATGAATTAATTTTCAAATCTCTTATAAAAGATGTTCCAAAGCATGTTTATCTATTGAGTTTAATACTTATTTTTAAAGAATTTCAGCCCTCGAACCATATATTTCTCTTATATTAATATTGAACTAGATCAGAACCTTCCAAATAGTTGGAAAACTCTTAAAAAAAAAGTTATATGGTTCTAGATTATAGTTTAAAGAACTTTTTAATATTATTCCTAGCTTTTATAATTAAAACTACTAATTTAAAACGAAGATCCTAATTCTCTTTGAGGCTTACTCTCATGGCAAAGTGAACAATAGGTCCACAATTTAGACAATCTATAATTTCCTATAACCAATATATGTAGTATATATGAAAGGGAATAACAAACCCGCAAATTATATCCAAGATTTGAGCAATCCTTATATATATATATACATATGGTAAGTAAGATTACTCAGATCACCCGTTAGAGGAGTCCCTGCTCCACGCCCATCATCAGGTCATCATCATTATTGGTTCCTTCTGGGCAGGAACTGCGCCTCCTGTATATCCTGCGGCCGCATCCGTATATGTTCGTAGCTCGGACCAGTGCCAGATGGATGCTTCTGCTGGTGCCTCCGATGGGCACCCACTTTAATCTCATCGCCTTGCCCCTTGTTCAGGGCAAGCAACCTGGCCATGGAGTGACTGGGGTAGAGCTTGCCGCACTTGTGGAAGGGTTCAGCAAAGTCCGCCTCCTGGGAACGCGATAGACCCGAGTCCGGCGACGAGACCGGCGATTTTCTGTGCAGCGGCTGCTGGGTGAAGGAGTGATAGCTCTTGGCCTTGTACACATTGCCCAGATCGGGCAGCTCGTAGTCGTTGCTTTCGTCGCGGGCCAGGAACTCCTGGAGCTGCAAGTGCCTCAGCTTGTCCTGTTCCAGGCGAAGGGACTCGTAGCTCTGGACAGGATCCGGGGGTAGTGATATGCCCGCATCACCGCCGGCTGCGTCACCCTTAATGGGCGGCGCCTCCTCCTTCTCCTGCTGCTGCTGCTGCTGCTGCTCCACCTCCTCCTCCTCATCCTCCTTCTTTGGCAGGAGCAGATTGAAGTGATGGCGCAGCCGGCGCTGGGTGAGCATCTCCTGATTCTCGACTAGAAACTTCAACAGTTGCTCCTTGCACTTGGCCATCTCGGCCTCCAGGTTGCTGATGCGAGTGCGATAGCACCACACTGTCCCATTCTCCAGCTGTTGCATCGTATCCGATCTGCAGGAGTTCTGTATCTTCTCCGCCTGCACCAGCTCCTTTTGCTCGCTGAGCCGCTGCAGCTTGCGGGTCATCAGCTGGAGGACCATGTCGGTGGTGCCCGTGCCCACCAGACGCTGGCATCGTCCCCCCATCTGGACGCCAGTGGGTCGCGTTCGCTCCTTGTCCTTCCGGCTTGCCTCCATCTTTTCACGCAGCGCTTCCGTTTCCGGTTTGAGTACGGATGCGTGCTTCTCCTCCCTGTGCCGCCTCTCGTGACGGGGACGCTTCAATGCCTCGGCTGCCGACTCCTGCCGCCTGCTGGCCTGGTTCTTGGGCTCAGGCGGAGCTGGCTCTGACTTTAGACGATGCTCCTGACTAACCTTCTCCTTGTCTCTGCCTCGATTTCGATCCCGTTCCTTCTTGTCCTTCTCTTTGTCCTTCTTCTCCTTCTCTTTCTCCTTATCCTTCTCCCTCTTTTGCTCTAGCTCCTCCTCGGTCTTGGCCTGAAGCTTCTTCTCCCTGATCCTGCGAAGGATTCGACTGCGCTCGATCATGGTCTGGAGATCTTTGGGTGAGGCCAAGTCCCCACCACCCGCCAGCTTCTCTCCCCACTTCACCTTATCCAGCTGGCTGGTATAGACGGGCATGGTGGTGTTGAGCAGAGCCTTCACCTGGGCCTCGGCCTTGTTCTGGAACTGGACATGAGCCTGCTTCTGCGAATGCCATGTTGGGATCTTTGATCGAGGTGCCGTGGCAACCAAGCCGTCCAGTTCCCGGCGCATAGCCATCGCGGCCTCGGCAGTGATCTTTATTTTGGTGTCCATTAGGGACGATGTGGCCCCTCCCACGGACGCCGGCTGCTTGGGATGCAAGGACGATGTCGAATGATTGGTGCGTCCGTTCTGGGGCACATCCTTGACTTGCGTCGGAACGGACGACGACTGCTTCGGCGGCACTGTCAACGTGGAGGAGGTCCGCTGCTTCTGTTCGCTCTCCGCCCAGCTTTGGGTTATATTCCGCTGCAACGTACTGACGCCCAGGTGATTCAGTTCCGTCCTCCTGACCGCCGGCACTGGAGCCACATTAGCCACTTTGCTTGTCGTCGTCTGGTGGGCACTAAGTGTCCTAAGGAGGAGGCGGTTGGATTGGGATGAGTTGCACAAGTGTTTCTTCAGAGGAGTGTATATTGTTTGTGTGAGAGGGGGCTTGGGATATGATATATTAATTCTTAATTCTTAATTCACTTCAAAATTAAGGTTAATTTAAAAATTATTTCATGGGGAATTGATGTCAAGAAATATATATAGTATCCTGGAGAATTTTGATAATATTTCATATTAATTTTGTAGTTTTAAATGTATAAATATATGATAGAAGATATAGATGATAAGGTATCAGGGATAGGAAATCAATATGATCTTTTGAATGATCTACAGATTGGGGAATTAATACTTATTTCATATTAATTTTGTTGTTTTAAATGTATAAATATTAAATAGAAGATATAGATGATAAGGTATCAGGGATAGGAAATCAATATGATCTTTTGAATGATATACAGATTGGGGAATTAATACTTATGAACAAATATCTATAGTCTCCTTTGAGATTTTATTATTAATTTTGGTAGTTTTAAGAGCAATCAGATATCAGAATGATCTTTTAAATGATCAAATAAAGTTTTCCCTTTTACAAGTTTGAAAATAATATAATATTCTTATGAAGACATGAATATAATTTGTAAATATATATAGATAAAGCTTTATATTTATCAATTACTATTATTTTTTGAATTGATTTACTATATATAATAATAATATATAGATAAAGTTTCATACTTATCAAGCCTTCATAATTTTTCTAAGGGATTGGCTTCCTGTATCAATCAATTTCATTCTTAAAGTATGGCTAAATGTACTTAAACAAGAGTATACTATATGAAAGGACTTATAAATATTCAATTTTAACTTATGAAGTTAATATTCTAATATTATTTTATAGTTCATTACCTAAAAAACAAAAGAATACTATTAATTTAAAAAGTTATTTCAACTGTAAGTAGGTTCTAACTAAAGCATCTAACTAACCCTCTTCCTATAGAGTAATCTTAATAATTTCATATCTTAAAACCTAAACTAAAACTCTTTCTAGAAACTAATCCTTATAATCTCATATCTTAAATACTATAAAATCCTATTGGCTCTGGCGCTGATTGAGACGACGCGGATGGGGGGGCAATCGATGTCTGGATCGATGCTGTCGCTCCTTGAACTGTGCCTGCATTGTGGCGGAGTCTGTGGATGCAGATGCAGATGCGGATGCAGATGCAGATGCGGATGCAGTTGCCTCCTGCTGCTTGGTGCTGACACACGCTGCTCTTGTGACAGTGACTTTAATGGGATTGACGGTGGATGTGGCACGCCGATGCTAGGGACGGCGGTACCTAGAAAAAGGGGACGAGTGGCTAGAGAAGCTCCACCAGCCCCGAGCCCCAGCGAACTACGAACCCAATATCTCCCCACCCAGCCCAAGGGGGATATACTCCTCCTAACTCACCTAGTTCGCGAGACGGAACGCGATGGCTGCTGCTTCTTCGTCGTCGTCGTCGTTGTTGCTGTCCCCGTTCCCGTTGCCGTTGTGGATATCCTAGAATCTCGATTGCTGGGTGGCGAGGTGGTCCTCTCCGTTCGACCACTGCTCCATGATTCCTGGACCATGGCATCGTATAGGTTCGATCGATACTCGTTGACGTTGTAGCGGACATCATCCCGCAGCGGCGGATGCACATCCGAACGGAGTTCCATGTCCGCGGAGGCGGTGCGAAAGCGTGTCACATACGGATGCAGTATGGCCGCCTTGGCAGTGAGCCTTCGATGTGGATCCAGCACCAGGAGGGACTTCAACAGTGTCATGGCATCGTCGCTGCAGTGGCGCAGCATCTCCTCCAGGGAGTGGCGACGATCTCGATTGATCTTCTTGCTAAGCAGCACTGTCCCAAAACTGGCACCTATGGAATCGATATCCTGCTGGGTCACATCCGGCAAAGCAGACACTATCTTCTCAATCTGTAAATGAAACGATTATCATTCTTCGATCTCCAGTTGGAAGTTGGATGATTACTCACCTGGTTAATGGTGCTGGTGCCCTGGAAGAGAGGCTTCTGTCGTATCAGCTCGCCCAGGATGCAGCCCAGACTCCACATATCTATGGCCTTGGTGTAACTAGAGAAGGTAGGAGGTAAAAGAGCTTCCAAAGCGAAGGGTATTCCAAGACTCACGTGCGACTGGCCACCAGGATCTCGGGAGCACGATACCAACGCGTGGCCACATAGTCCGTCAGCATAGCTCCATGCTCCAGGTCATCGAATTCGGTGTTCCGCTTCTTGTACAGAGTACGAGCCAGGCCAAAGTCAGCCACCTTGAGTCTACCAACAACCACAAATCCTTGAGTCTCATTAAAGGAGTCTCAAAGGATCAGAGAGCTTACCTGCATTTGCTGTCTATCAGTATATTGCTCGGCTTCAGATCCCTGTGGACCACATTGCCCGAGTGCATGTACTTGATGGCATTTACCAATTGATACATAATAAATCGCTTGTGCACATCCTTCAGGATATCACCCCGTTTAATGACATTGTGCAAGTCGCTCTCCATGAACTCGAATACCAAATAAAAATCCAAGTTGTTGCCGGCTCTAGGAGTAAAATATAGGAGTCCACCAAGGAAAACCACATTCTAGCGATTTAAGAACTCACTTGTATACATCAATTAAACGAATTATATTGGGATGATGGCGAAAGGCACGAAGGAAGACCACCTCCCGATATGTGCGCTGGGCATCCGTTTCATCACGAAAGGCATCGAAGATCTTCTTGAGGGCCACCGTGGTCTTCTTTTGGCGCTCGATGGCCTTCCAAACGATGCCATAGGCACCCTTGCCCAGGCGCTGAAAGGGTTTACAATAGGGGATAATGATACCTTTAACTATATTCTCTTGGGAATCGTTACAAGTTACTCTCAAGTAATTTAAGCGAAGACGTTCGACCCACACTCACCTTCTTCACATCAAACACTCGCTCCACATCCTGATCCAGCTCATGTATGCGTTGCTCCTCCGCTGTGATGACCGGTTGCGAGGTCATTATTTTCCCAATCGCCAGTCCTAGCTTCAGCTTCTCGCCCCCAGGACCTCTGACCTTGTCCTCCTGCTGCTTGGCTGCTTGGTTGGTATCCCGCTCCTTGTGCTTATTGGCTGGCTGTGTCGTCGTCGTCTCCAGCTTCTTTTGCATATGCTGCTTATGCTTGTGGAACACCTTCTCGATCACCTGCTGGACGGACAAGCCGCGACTCCTTACAACGGAGGACTTGCAGAACCGGGGGCCGCCATCACCGGCGAATTCATCACCGGTTACCTGAACCGGCGCCAATTTGACGGATATGGGACTCTCCCGCCCGACCTAGGCCCTGAATTCCAATCTTCGGTTGTTGCCTCACTGTTGGAATAAATGGGATTAAGTTACTCCTTAGCGAGTGATCACTGTGTGCACGGGTAGAGCGGAGGCGAGCTGCTGCTGCTGCTGCTGCTGCCCCAAGTGGTTTTGCGGCTCCAAGTGGAGGAGCAACTGGCTCCTCGCGTGCCAGCTCTCATATGCAAACGGCATCAAGTATGTAAAATAAAATTAAGCGGCAACTGGGTTGAGTTGCACCGACGAAAAATTGGTATAAGAAACGGTTTAATTGACTAAATTACTTACTAAATTTAAATCGTAGTTTAATTATTGATTTATTTTGTGATTTTAGAAACGGAAATTTAATGTTTTATTTATATTTTTATTCATATTTATTATGAGAGAAAAGATTGCAATGAAAACGTTATACAACAATATTTTATAGCCTACTTTTCGACAAACTTTTAACTACAATTCAAATCCTTAGAATTCTGGAATTTAGAAATCTTTAAAGGTTAATTTGTTTGGGAAATTAAAAATATATTTAAATACAGCAAAGTTTTCATTAATTTTATTGAATTAATTCATTAATTTGTATATATTTTCTATCTTATCAACTGATTAGTTGACAAAGAAAAGGAAGGAGGTGTCTAGATCCAATCTCATGTTGGAATTTCTGTATAATTTATCCACTCTTTCTCTCTCCCCTATGATAACAATAATGTAAAAAACCAAACTCTAAACTCCATTAGATTTTTCTCTTAGTGTGTGCTAAAACGGAAACGGAACAACGGCCATAATAACGAGAGCGCACAAATAAAAATCGTGAAATCGGTAAATAGAACCAAACGAATAAATAAATCGCGAGGCGGCTTGATTGAAACCGAATTATTGTTAGATCGATCGGGGAGAGAGCGAGCGAAAGCGAAAACGAAAGCCCCCAAAATCCAATTGGCCTACGGAATGCCTACAATGGACCGACCCTCAAGTGCCCAGGGCAACGTCATGTGCCATGCCTCCCACATACAGTTGTGGTCGCATTAATAGCAGCGAAAAAAATTCATACAAAATATATTATGGGTATATACAATTTTTTTAAAATTATATATTGAAATATTCCTTAAAACTTAAGTATTTTACTTTAAGAAATTGTTTTCTAAAATTTGTTAATAATTTTTTGTATAAAATAACACTTGAATACTTAAAGAAAATATATCATTATCTAGTTAATACTTTTCCAAAAGCTAGAAAAATTAAATAAATCCACTAATGTTAAAAGTCTTGTCCTTAATATAGGAAGTGCTAGTATTTTGACCTCATCTGTACCAACATATTGCCCGCAAAACAATCAAATCAAAGTAGGCGGCATGCAATCCCAGAATCGCCCAACAAAACAATGGCAAATGAATTTGTTTAACAAATAAATAGGCACAAGTACACCTCATATGTGTGTGTGTGTGTGACAAAGCACACAGGACAACAAATGCAAAAATAAAACCCTTGTCTTTCGCAATTTTTTACATTTAAACATTTTAAGGATGCTCTTCACATAGATTCGAACGTCAAAAGTTATTAGAAAGATTAGATATAATATGTTCTTTACCATTATTAGGAAATAAATGAAATTAAATTAAATTATTTGTTTACATGTTTACATGACCTCCTGTTAATTGTAAAACATCTTAACAAGTCCTTGCATGCATGGGAAGTAAATATGGCTGCTTTCTAACTGGAAAGTTTCCATAAACTGGAAAGGATCTTTTCTAAACTCACTAGTTTTGGAAATAAAAAAGGGATATTTCGAAACCCACATTTACTCAATGTTAGCCAGTGTAAACCGAAAGCAACAAAAGCAGTAGACCCAATTGAATTTGGCCCAAAAGTTTTCAAGTGGAGCAGCACACGTCACTTACCTGGAAGGCAGGGGTTGGAAGGTTTGAAGGAGGTGGGCACGAAGGTGACAATGAACACCGTCTCCTCTGGTTGGTCTTTTGCTTAAGATATAAACTAAAAAATATATATTTATGGAATAGAGAACGAAACAATGTGAACTGTAGGGATTTAGCATTAGATTGGGGATGTTACATCGAATCGTAGGACTTACCTAAAAACAATGAGATGAACTGTTTTACGAAAACACTCCAGAATTGAACAGAAAACCAAAACCAACTAAAACACTAAACTATAAACCTCCGGATCTATATCTTCGATCTATCGCTCCTGGTCCGGATGCACTTCCCGTTTCCGGTTTGGAGCATGAAGGTAATGAAAATAATACCGGAGGATGTCCTGCGATCATCTGCGCTGTGACAATACAATTTAATTATTTCACTCGCGTGCCACGCGCGATTAATTTTTTCACGGATTTTATTGAAATGATGAATATAACGACATTGATGCGTTCTTTTTTGGTGGCAATGTGCCGACGTTATCGTCTCCAACTTCAAACAACTCGACTTTGGCTCCGATTTTGGAAAACGTTTGGAGTAAATATCGAACGGTATGCACAATAAAAGTGTTTGTGTTTATTTTTAATATTTTGGATTCATCAGATCGTGTGTGAAGGTGAAAAATTTCGGACTAGAACTGCCATAAGGCATTGCTTGACTGACACGTTCAGTCCAATAAACGCAACGGCAACTATGTTTCCATCATTTTTGGAGCTACGTTTTCGTTCCGTTTCGATTGAAATTTCACACTGAAGGGCTCCCGACTATAGTTTCCATCGTTTCCAAGTATACGGAGGTCCTGCAGGACTAATATGGCATCATTAACCCTCGTTTCTCTAACCACATATTCACACTCAACTTGGTTAGTGTCCTTAACATACTTTATCAAGGATTAGATTGAAGATTAATACAAAATTCGTACAGATAGCGTTATAAAACCTCTAAATAGATTAAAAATATAAAAACTAGATATATTTATTTAAGACAAACAATTGGTAAAACCCTTCTAAATGTAAATGATATCCCTAGGGCAGGCTGGCCCAACATGAAGTTTCCCTTTTATGGGCCGGGTTGCTATCAATAAATGCATATTTGATGCTTAGTTTTCAATAACAAACATGGGCGTACCCCAGCCATGAAGTCCTCGCATAGCAACCTCTTCCATTCCGGAATGTGTTATCAAGTTGCCCGTGGGAACGCGACCCCAGTTCAGGAACAGAAACAGGAGCAGGAGCAGCAGCAGCAGCAGGAGTTGGAGTCGAAGAAGTAAAAACACTGATGGATTGTCTTGTACAAAAAGGGATTTCTTGCATGTCAATTTATTGGTTTAGTTTCGTGTTTTGTCTACAATCTTAAAAGGATAGAAACTCTATGGCTAGTGCTGCTGATAGTGGAATTTCTGTTGCAGCTGCTGCTGCTGCTGTTTCTGGACCTGCTCCATCTTGAGTTGCTGCTGCTGCTGTTGTAACTGCTGCTGCTGGAGTAGCTGCTGCTGTTGATGCAGTTGCTGCTGCTGGAGTAGCTGTTGCTGCTGTTGCAGTTGCTGCTGCTGCTGTTGAAGTTGCTGCTGCTGTTGTTGAAGTTGCTGCTGCTGCTGCTGTTGGAGTTGCTGTTGAAGTTGCTGTTGGAGCTGCTGTTGTTGCTGGTGAAGTTGCTGCTGCTGTTGAACTTGCTGTACAGGCTGCTGAGGCTCGACAACTTTCTGCTGTTGAAGTTTCTGCTGTTGCTGCTGCTGTTGCTGCTGCTGCTGCAACTGCTGCTGCTTCTCCTGTATGAGTTTCTGGTTTGCCTGAAGCTGCTGGCGACGGCGCTTTTGCTTCTCAAACTCCGCCAGATGTTCCTGCTGCTTGCGGACTAGCTCGTCCATCACTTCGTGATTGTAGGTTGAGTGCAGCATCAGTCCCAGGAGATTGGCTCGGGATGTTAGCTGCTGTCGTAGCATGCGCTCCTGCTCCATCAGATCGTCCATCTTGAGCCACTGACGAACACGCTCTAGATCAATCTCCGCCCGACGGATCTTCTCCCAGGCATAGTGCTTGAAGCAGTTCTTCTTTGGTGCACGACAGAACTCACCCGTCGGATTGAAGACATTGTGCACCAAGGGGGCGCCACAGACATCCGTGTCGCTTACCTTGGGGTCCTTACTATGCTCCGGACATAGTACACGCAGACGCTTGCAATAGGTTTTGCTGGCCGGATTGTAAAAGTCACAGAACATATTGTTGCCCTCCATGCGGGTCTGGAATATACTGCCGAAGCTGGCCTGCGACTCGTACTTGTTGAAGCACTTCTCCATATGCTTGATGGCCGTGCGCGAGTGGATCTCATGGCCACAGGTGATGCAGTACATGCTCTGCTCATCCTCCGCGTCGCCGGAATCATGCGATCCCTGCGTGTCAATGGAGCTGCGCTTGGCTCGCTCCACAACCATATTAAGCTCATCAGAGCGCTTCTCCAGTTCGGCGAGGGCGAAGCGCACCAAAGCCTGCTTCTGACGGATGCCCTCCAGTTGCTTGCGAGTCTCCTCGGCGGCATGACACGGCGTCAGATTCCATTCCTGCAGGCGTTGCGGCAGCACCTGGAATAGGATAAAGTATGAACGAAAAGTCTAGATCCCCTAACTGGATAACCAACCTGGAAGATGCGGTTGGTGGCCAAGTTGAAACCACACTTGTCGCTGCAGTACTTGCTCTGCGGCCGCGCTTGGCAGCAGCAGCCGGGACCGTGACACTGACGCGTACCCTCCAGCTCGGGATTGAGGAACACCTCTGGACTGGCGGCTCGCTTTATGCCGACCTTTGCCTTGCGAGCTTTGCTGGCGGTAGCCTTTTCGCGCTTCCTGCCTCCCGTGCTCGACTGAGAGGTGCCGGGCTCGTTGACGTTCGGCTGGTTGACGCAGGTGCGGTAGATGCAGCGAGGCTTGTGACCGGCGCGGACCCGACATGCATCGCACTGGTTGCAATTGGGACGCCGGCATCCCTCGCAGGTGCCGCAACGCCTGCCAACCTTGGTCTCCCGAGCGTTGCTGCTTTTCCGCTTCAGCGCCCCCGATGGCGGGGGCAACGGAGCTGCTCCGGCAGCAGGCGGCGCCCCAGGCGGACCTGAGGCTCCGGCACCCAGGCTGGTGGAGGCCGCATTCGAGGCGGCAGCCCGTTCGGTGGACACCAAGCGGAAAATGGTCTGCAACTCGGGATTCTCCCTCTTGCAGCGCCGGCAGTAATACTGCTTGATGTGCTTGGCCTCCTTCTCGGTGATGCCGATGCAGTCGCCATGGTACCACTCCTCGCAGCCATCACAGCCTCTGGAAAAAGCGGAAATGGAGTCATTTTGGAAGATCTAAGATCTTAGGGGATTCCTCCAGGGGACAATGCTCACATCATAAACCGGGAACAGTCGGAGGTACGGCAGATGCAGTAGGCCTGGTCCTCCTGCTTAAGTATCGTGGCTATCTTGGACTTGCGCTCCGGCAGATCAAACTCTCGAGCGATTTCCCGCCGGATTTCCTCTTTCTGCGAATGGGACATCAAAGTTATTCTAGTGGAGAGTGCATTTCCGGGTAACTTACGGTTTTCTTGTACTTCTTTTTGTCCGCCATTCCGCGCCGGGGGGAGGACCTCTTACTAAGTTAATAATTTAAACTAATTAAAATACACACGTACAAATCCCAATAAAATAACAAAAAAAAGGAAACAATGTGACCGCAGCGCAAGTGTCAGAAAAAGCCCCGGAAATTATGGGGTTGTATGACGCGTATATTTAAGTGACTACTTGGTAACTAGCCAAGATTATGCTGTATGGTCTTTAAATATTTAACATCCAGATACTCCTTTAATATATACATTTTTGGCGCCACATTTTGGTTTCTTTTTATAAACTATTTAAATTTATTTCTGTTAGATAGATAGAGCTCCGATGTTTTCTCCGGCTCTGTTAATGCATTTTACTTCCTACATAAACATTCTACGTGTATCTGTAAGCGAGTTAGATGCACCAACAACCCGAGAGAGAATTCTGTTAATTAACATCCACCCGACCGCCAATGAGAGAGAATTCTGTTAACTTACGCTGGGTGAGAGCAGGTCTGTTAATAAAACCCAAACGCACCCAAGAGAGAATTCTGTTAATCAACATCACAAATTTACATTTTACATGGGAATTCGAACCCATGTAGAAAGTTCTACCCCAAAAGTGAGAATTCGACCCCATGTATCTGTAAACGTGTAAGGCGGGATAAACGGCGTGTAAGATGTAGAATGTTAAATAACAGGTTCGTATTTCAGAGTGACCAAAGCAGGGTGATCAAAAATCATTTTCGAACAATTTTGCAACTTTGGTATTTTTGAAACAAGAACCATCATTATCACAAAACAAACACGAACTAAAACACGAACACGACACAGCAACGGTTAAAAAATCTCGCAGCGCGATGTTCGACTGGCGGTGGAATTTTTGTTTATTTTTTTCAAGTTTAAATAATACGTTACGCTATTAGGCGGCGAATAAGTGCAGATTAATATAAGTGCAAAACCGAGCGACTCGAAATAACCAAACTAACGAAGGAGATAACCGACGCGACAAAAGCAACGCTGAAAACAAAAACGATCGTACAACCGCTTAAATACATGCCGATTTGTTGGTAGGATCTTAGCAAATACGAGGAGGAGGCAGACGAAAACGAAAAATCAGACATTCAGCTGAATTAAATAAGCCAAATAAATGGTGTTTTGCATTTTGTGAGCTTGGCATTTCGTTTTTCCTTTTGTTACGACGTTTCCGCTGATCTTGGCCCGTTGTTGTTTTTACCTTTTTTTTCGCGTTGTTGTAACTCGTTTTTTGTGTGAGCGCGCGTGTATGAATCACACAAACACAAGCAAAAACAATAACAACGCGGCGGCGGAGACGGTTAAATATGCTAAAACCAAAAAAGGCAATCTAGATAGCAGAATAAATAAAAGGAAAAACCGATCGAAAGAGAGTTACGAAACAAGAGGAGGCATCCTGGAATTTCAGAGAGCGAGAGAGGAGCCAAGAGAGCAGCACAGCACGCACACACACACCAGAGGGAGACAGCAAGAGCGCAGCACACGTACAGCTGTCAAGTGCGGTGATCCTTTCCGCAGGCACGCAGCCATCCCGCTCGCACCCATGCCGCCACCCTAGACCAACTCTGGATGCAGCTGCCTAACAAACAGAATAAACTCCAACAACAAACACAAAGAGGAACGCAGGGAGAGCGAGCGAGACGGAGCAAAATACGAAGAAGTGGAGGCAGCGGAGATGCATCATCATGTTGCGGTCGCAACAACAACAACAACACCACCAACAACAACAAACACAGCTTACGGCTGTAGGCAGGCGAGCATAAAAAAATAGCTGAAAAATAGTTGGGAAAAATCGAAAATTTCAAAAAAAGGAAAATAAATCGAGCAATAAACGTAATATAATTTAATCGCGTGTGTTAGTTATGTGCAAAGTAGAAAGTGCATTGCAGCGATAAATCTACAACGAAATTTAAGAAAAATCATTAATTAGAAATTACAAAAAATAAGGAATACAAATTAACAAATATGAAGGTCACCGTTTGTTTCGGCGACGTGCGCATTCTGGTGCCCTGCGGTTCCGGCGATCTTTTGGTCAGCGATTTGGTCAAGGAGGCAACGCGTCGCTATATAAAGGCAGCAGGAAAGGTAAGATATAAATAATATGTAAAGATAATGATCCCTGGCTGGTTTTCTATAAGTTATGTATATTTAAAATGAAGAAAACTTGAAGTAGTAGGTTTCTTTTGAACATTCTTCACCTTTTCCTGGAAAATAGACCCCAAAAAACACAATTCAGTCATATATTTCTCAGGCAGTTCCGTAAACAATTCGTCTCAAGGGCGGAAATGCTGCACTTGAAAGTGATGTAATTACACAGGGAAAAAACTAAGAAAAAGAAACAGAACAGAACCCGAAAACCCAGAATTAAACAGAAAAAAAGGTTCTTCAGCGGCGCTTATCGGTTCAATGGGAAGGGGAAATAGGAATGGGAACAAGTCGAGGGGGGGATACAGATAAAGCGGAGATGAGGGAAAACAGACACACACACACACACATGTGTGTCTAGGTAAAATATTTGAATAATGATAAGCCAAAAGTAAAAAAAAACACAAGTAAACTAAAGGAGTCGAAACCTGTATACCCTATACACCAGAAAATGCAATATAAAAGCACAAATCTAGAATTCTATCAATAATGTTATACAAATTGTTAAGATATTATTATAGAATTATTTTGAGTACAAAAATAATTTATAAAAATTAAATATGGGTATACAAAGTGACAAAGGTGAAAAAAAAGAAAACAAGCATCGAGTAAAGATGATAACAACAACAAACAAATCGAAGAAGAAAGAAGAGAACTCAAGAAGACTCGACTCAAAAGAATTATAATAAAAGTCAGCCGGGAATCAAAAGAACATTTTTATTTCTTTTTGAACTCGCTTGAACCCGATTTCGTAGAGAAAAGGGGGAGAAGAGACAAATAGGGGGCGACAGGTAACCAAAAAAAAAAAGGGAAGAAAAGGGGAGAAAAGCGAGAAATGCACTTTACAGAGGGGCCTTAATTAATCAGAAATAACATCAGAAATTCGTTGGGGTCCACAGGCTCCCCCCTATATAATTAATCAAAAGGGCAAGACAAAGGTTCCTCCGCGATAATCGCCGACTTCCAGAGATTTTCCAGGGAAAATTCTGATTCGAAATCAATTTCATTTCGTTGCAAGGGGGAATCTTGCTTCATTTTTTGGTAATAATTATGAGTTGTGTGTGTTTTTGAGACGATTAAGTCATTATGTAGATTATAGAGCGCCTGAGGGAAGTTTGTAACTTCCTATAAGAATTTGGAAAGAACTTAAAAAGCATTTGGTGTGAAGTTTTTGAAAATTGAAAAAATATGAATTTAATAGATTTTCCTTTAACAGAAAAGAATCATTTGAAAGGCTTGAAAACTTAATTTTAAAGAACTTCTATTAAGAACTTGAGAAAAAAACTTTAATAACCTTCTGACTGTTAAACATATTGGCAAACAATATATTATATTTAAAATTATATAAATTATTACCAAGAACTGTAATAAGTAATTACATTTTGCCATCTCAATTTCCAAGCATTAATTGTCTTATTGCTGTGTTTAATGAAAGAAAATGTTCGACTAATTGGAAGTTTTCCCAACCCAAAACAGCTGGTTATTCCTCTCACCTGAAAAATTGCCTCAATGGTCTTGGATTTCCGGTGTGTCGGCCTATGGGATCCCGAGAAGAGGCCGATGTCTGGTATATATATGTGGTATATATATGTGGTAGAAGGGGCCTGATCTGTTGCAACTTGTGTGAATTTTCGTTTGCTTTCATTGTCTGGCCAAAAGACGAAACTGTGTCAGTTGCAATTAAATGCAAAAAAAGGGGGAAAAGCAGATCAGAGGGGTTAAGAAGCGGCCAAGATAAGACGCTTTCCATTTCGCGATCACGTGCGCCGGCCCCTTAACAATTGAACTTGTTAATTATGCAATTTAATGCTTTCTCAAAGGAATACAATTAAAGCCAAACTATATAAAAATAAACTTTAGTACATATATTTTAAAGAAACCATATAATATTACAGCAAAGTCCTTAAATCTCTTCAGGAATGTTTGTATCTAAAATTAAATTTAAATCACAATTCTATTGTTCTTTCCTCAAGTATTATATATTTTTGCCAAATCAGCAAAATCAAATGACACTTTGCAGGCTTTATATATACATATACACTTAGTTGCACTTCAAATTCTTCGAGCACATGAAATATAATTGTATTTTTTATTAATTTCCACGATTCCATTTCCATTTTGCATTTGTGCGGATCGGTGCTTTTGTTTTTGTTTTCAGGTTTTTATTTTTCGCATTTTCGCTTTGGGTTTCTTTATCTTTCGGAACCCAAACAACATGTGCAAGCTCAACTGTGTGGAAGTGTTAAAGGAGAATGAGAATAGGAAAAAGAGGTGGAAAAATAGAGACTGTTACCAAGTGACCTAGTGCAATTTGAAGATAAATGTACTTATAACATTGAAATATTCCACTTGGGTTGCGCCAAATGTGAGATAATTGCATTTGAGTGGCAATGTTCTCTTGTAACTTGGGTTCTTTAAGAGGGATTCAAGGGAAATTTGGTATAGGAAGGTATTAAAATGGGTAAAACAATATTTTATAGAAATAAGCACTTTTAATTTACAATTTTAAAAATAGATGGTTTCTGCAAGTAAAGTAAAGCTCATATAAAAAAAAGTTTGGCTTTTCAAATAAAGATCAACATTTGTTATTCTTTTTGTCAGCCACAAAAGTTGCTCAGTAATTCGAGAACTGCAAAAGTTATTAACTTGAAACTTTGCCAGCCTACAAACAGCTGCAAAATATTACGAGGAAAGCAACAAAAAAGAAAAATAAAACACCTAAAGACTTGTTTGTTTACACCTGAACCAACACTATTCCTAGAACTTGATTCTCATGTGGCAGAACATAAACTAAACAACTCACATTTGTTGTTAACTTCAGTTTAAACTATAAAGCAATACGATTCCTTTGTTATAAAAGTTTGTTATGAAGCCTGAGTCTAAAGATATCCAATAACTTACAGAGTATTATTTACTAGGGGAAAGTTCTTAAGAATCATGATATGGGTATTAAATATAAACACTTATTTTTGCAGTGACTTTAGAGATATTCTATGAAAGCTTGCATTTGTTCTAGGTGCTAAATTATCCATACGTTAATTCTTATTATGAAATATTTCAATAAATAAATAGTTTTATGTTCAGTTTCGTGGTAAAAGCCACGCTTTTCGCTTCGATTCCTTTGTTCCCAGCTTGGCTTTAGTGGGCGGTTACATCTTATCAAACAAAGCGAAAATTATGACGACGAGGAGAGGGGTATGACTTGTCCGTTGGCTCATTTGTTTATTTATTGTTTGCCTGGGAAACCAGGCAGATATGGAGTAAAAAAGATATATATACATAAAACGAAGCTAAAGTTGAATTCATTGAGCATTTTTTCTTCTCGCTGTGGCTGCTGAATTCTTGGCATTAAGGCAACAAAAACAAAACGCGGCAGCTCAGACGGTGAAACCAGTTTTTGCACAATTTGTAAATTATTTAGTCATAAAAAGAAATATCCAGCTTTGCGTCTCTCAACATATCTTTCTCTTTCCCACTGGCATTCTCGCTCTTCTCTCTCTTTCTCTTAATGTATATATATCTCTCTTTCTGTAGGCGGTTAAAATTTTTGATTTTTCTACTCACGCTAATTGTTAGCGTATTTTTAAGTGCACTCTAATTGGTTTAAGTCAATAATTACAATGGAAACATGGCTGAAACCATGGCTGGGAGATTGCGAAAAGCATTCCGATTTCATGGAATGTGTCGGTGTCAAGTCTTGACACTGGCAAAATAATCGATAAAGCCGAGAACGGCAAACACCTTGGCAAGTTTCTAATTTTTTTATAGTTTCCCCGGAGTTTTGTGTTTAGAATTTCATGCTTAAATTTTTAGCTTTTAGAAGGGGTAAGAATAAGGTCAGAAAATGCTTTGAATTAGCTTAAATGTTTGCATAAAGAAATATGTAAATAGTGGTATTATATTGAAACAAAATATTGACACAAAAATACTAGAAAGTATTTTAGGAAAGTCTTAAGAATACTACATAAAAAACTTTGGTATATTAAAAATTATTACTACTTAAAATAAATTGTATTTCCTAGCAATCTTTAAGAACTTTTGGTATTATCTTTCATATTTTATGTTTATAAATGAGGTATAAATAATAATATTATAATTATTGTATTTATTAGATTAATGAGAATATTTTTGGTAATTCCAGTTCTTTTATCTCTTTTATTTTTCATATTTAATGAATATAAATTATGCAATTTGATTTTTCTAAACTCCAACTCAAAGTATATAAAGTATATATGTTACTGTCTTTTATTTTTATCTTTTGCATTGCCACCCGGGATCTTTTTTATTTATTTCCCTTGAAAGAAGTAAAAATAAAATAAGAAGATAAGAAATATTTGCAGCTGTTGTCGCGCGGAAAAGAGAAAAACAAGAAAATGCAAGCCAATTATGAGTCCAAAAAAAAGAAACGGAAAAAAACATTTAAGCCGGACCTACCACAAATGCACACCACAACCCCTCCACCTTTGAACTATGAACTAATCTCTTTTAAGATCTGCATTTCCTATTATTTTACCTCGAAACGAAGGAAAGGTGAGAGACAGAGAGAAAGAAAGAGATAGAAAGAGAGAGTGAAAATGTAAGGGAAAATATTTATACGAAAAGCCCAATTATGCAACAAGAAAATATAGAATTTACAAGAAGGTATAACTAAAATATTGGATCTAAAAGCTAATAGTTTCTATATATAGTTTCTGGCAGTATTTAAATCAAGTTACATGACTCCCCATAACAATTATCCAATGTTAATTGGAGTTGACAAAGTTTTTAGAGCCTAAATCAAAACAAGTGCAATTAAAAAACTTGCAATTCTAGACTAGACTTTTAATGGGAATGCCTGAGAGACTATATCTAAAACGTTCTTCAGTCTGGGTTCCCTCGTAACACCTCTCTCCGCCTCTCATCAGACTTCAGGTAGCACTGTACCATACTATATATATATA